TGATCGGCGGTTTTCGGGCGGAAAGAAACCGAATTTCGAGCCGCAAATTCTGTTCTGGGTAGTTGAGCTCTCATATGTCACGTACAACTAAAAACCTCGGCGAGCATAAATACCCTGTCAGTGTCCCTTTAAGCATACAGTGGAACGTGTCATTCGCAGGTAATGACATGTGTCGGCACTAACGCACAAGCAGGATACTGCTTTTGTAGGCCAGCATTATTTATATGTATTTGTAATTTGAATAAAAAGCATTATTATTATTATTATTATTATTATTATTATTATTGGCCAAGAAACGCAAATCCAGATATTCGTCTGCGGATTGATCATGCACGAGCGCATACGTCCAAGTGACCCAGTGCTCGTGTCCAACGCGTGAGCTGGGGTCGGTTGACGTCATTTTGGCACCGCGGATGTTTCACAGTGAAAGGGCAGAGAGCTTTCGAAGGAAAGGAGGTACCAAATAGTCCGCTATATTTTTAAATTTCCGTACCGAAGAGCTGGCTTTCGTCTTTCTACCGCTTTATGTTTTGGCCCACTAAACTACATGCGATTAGTAAAATCCCAATGTAAAATCATTTCCCCCAGCCGAAAATTTATTTCATGGTCTCTTTAAGTTGGAACGGGTAGATATACTGAGGTCTAAGTTAAAAATTGTCCGGGCAAAATACCACTTGTAAGTTTTTTTTTTTAAAAATTGCATAATTTTCTAGGCTAGGGTAGGTCGCGCAAATGAGAAATCTGACAGTGGCAAAACATTGGCTTTCGGTGACTGACATGCTGCATAACCAGGAGAAAGGGGAGGAAGCTAGCAACACTCCCCCCCCCCCCCCCACCCCCGTCTTTTTTTTTTTTCTTCTCCTTAAAAAAAAAAAGAAAAGAAAAAACTGGTTACAGTGTTGTTTTGTCTTCTACAAAAAATATCTAGAGTGATAAAACAAAAATGTGTAATTCTCGGCCTCTGGATGCCCGGCAGGGTTGCATAAACGTTTGATCAAAACAAGACGTGCGACTTCAGACGAAATGCGTTCGTCGGGTGGACTTGTGCTTGAACAGTTTTAGATCAGTCCAGAAATCAAAAGGTGAGAGCCGAAATATGTTTTCCCTTTCAATGAGCACTACCCCAGCACGAGACAGCGCGACTTGTATAAACGTTCAAAGTGTATGTGTGTGTGTGTGTGGGGGGGGGGGGGGGGGGTGCGCTCGCGCTCTCAAGCGGGAAGGGGCGCTGCAAGCACTGCGCCGCGCACGGCGCCAACCGCTATAAGTGACGGACTAAAAGTTGGTTCACACACTTGCGTCAGTCGGGCCTAGTGCGACTTTACGGCTTGCGACGTTACCTTTTTACAGGTTGGTATGACAGCAGGGTTCTAAGCCACTTACAACCGCCCCAATGCCATAGCAACCTGTAAAAGAATTAACGTCGCAAGCCGTTACAGTCGCGCTCGGTCACATTTACGCAAGTGTGTGAACACCTTTTAACCCTGCCCATTCGCCGCTGACTCGGATTGCAGAGGTAATAAACGCTTTATTGTTGACGGGAATTCGGGTGTCGTACCGCTGCATCTACCGGTAGGGAGTTAGGACACCCGAAGTCCCGTCAATTAGAAAACGTTGATTACCCCCTCACCTTTCTGAATGGCGTCCTCCTGGACACCACTTTGACACCCTGAGCTAAGGGCCAATAAAGATGTGTTCTCTCTCTCTCTCTCTGCTATCCCCAGCGCCCCCCGCTTGAACGTGGGAGCGCCCCCAAATTCAGGTGATAATAGTTCCTGATCCCCACAGAATCTGTCTACTAGAATATCGTTCGATGTATCTGATTTCACGCTTGCATCGCTCCTAGGCCGGAAACTAAAAAGCCGGTCAGAATAACAGATGGTTAAACACGGAGCATAATTAATAACGCGTTTAGTTGGCTTCCGAAAACAGTATTCGTTTGCGGTCGCGTGATTTAATTAGATACACATCGGTGTTAATGTCTATACCGTGTTCGACCAACTTCACAGCGTACAAGGAGTGTTATGAGCCGAAACTTGCTTCCGGGAGCATCGCGCGGTTGCTTCAAAAAAGAACAAACTAAAAAAAGCAAAAAATAAATAGAATAGAAACACTGTGAGAAGTATAACTGAACGAGGTCACAACAATCAAAAAGCACCAAAACATTATAATTTTATTTTCTTTAAATTTAGCAAAGACGTGTGGGAGCGAAGGCCCTGATGGGTATGCGCTGATGTTGAGCCAATCCTTATGCGACGAGAAATTGACGGAGATGAGGAGACCAGAGCGCGCGGGGACGTTGTAACGCCGAGCCCTGGTTGGAAGGATAAGTGGGTAGACCTAAAGATAGCTGCCTTTGTCTCCACTGCTCTCGTCAAACGGATTAGAACTTGGAACGCCGGCGTCCAGCGTTCCGCGTTCTGGTACGACGAGTGCAGTGTATTCAAAGGCAGCTAGCTTTAGGTCTACCCACTTATCCTTTCAACCAGGGCTCGACGTCTCCTCATCTCATTCAGTTTCTCGTCGCACACATTTGACTCAGCCTGACATTGATTCTGAAGCCACCGCCATCGACTTCGCAAATGTCACCCTCGGAAATAAATGATTGTTTTCTATCTCTCTCTCTCTCTCTCTCTCAAAAAAAGGGGGGGGGGGGGATGTTCAGACAGCCTAGAACTTGGTCTACCCCAACGGGCGACTTGCCTCCCAGCTGTAGATGAGCAATTTAGCCAGTGCAGTACAACCGCTAGCCTGGGGTCTTTAACGTGCATCACGCATGAGTGCTACACGACCGCACGCCGGTACGATGCTCATCAAGATTGATCTGTTGCCACTATCTTTTGCCAGTGCTCTTTTTGATACTTAACGAATGATCTCTACTGTAGTAGGCTAGATCCAGAATAAAAGCTTTTCTTGCTGGGGTCGAGCGGCGCGCACACCATTGGCAGCCTTCGCTTGACACCAGCTAATGCATGATACTCTATGGGAGAAACGGGGAAAACTGCTATTTCTACCTTAGTAGATTGTTCTCCAGTATAAAAATAGTATCGTGTTTTCTGGGAATTATAGTTAATATTCTGGGGGCAAAGATCAAAAGCGTTAGAATATCAATATTTTTTAAAATAAATGTTTTATGGTTGAGGGTCGAGGGTTGCGACTTCGAGCGTAAACTGTGATGCGTTTCAATGACACGAGGGTTGCCGAGAGTCAATCTGGATTCGTTCGTAATCTCGAAGTCACCGGAGCTTAGCAGACGTTAAGTTAGAAGGCCTTTACTGGGGTCATTCGCACATTTGCATCGTTTCAAGCGCTTGTACAAAGTACTTCTGGTGCGACCTTTTGCTTTGAACTGCAGTGAGGGCTTTCGTGACGAACTAATACTCGGAGCGTTCCCTTCATTCGTTGAACGTGTCATTCATTTACCAACTGAAGCAAGCGACGCCGGCACAGTCAATGGTGCTCCGGCCCCTTTGCTTTTTTCTTTTAACGGCATTCGAACGCTTGGCAAACTCCAATTCGATCTCCAAACACCCGATATAATGATCGCCTTCGAGCACCGCGTGGAAGCTTCAAAATTCTTACATTTGTGTGTTTCTCCCATAGACTCGCGTGTATCGCCCGGTGTCAAGCAATAGCCGCCGGTGGTGCCACCGACGGGTTCCCGATCCGCGATCCAGACTACTACTATAGGCACCAGTGACACCAACACGTTGTTTACAAACAAGTCGGCGTTTGCCCACATCAAGTGTGGGCACTGCCTGGGCACACAAGCCAGATTCGCGCGAGATAAAGCGTTTGCGCGTGCGCAGTGCCGACAGCAGCGCCAAAGGAAGTGGCGTGATGTCAGAGACTTCAACAGAAATAAAAGGATGTCGCGTTCCTGATGATCTCGCAAGTTCACAAACTCCCACGGGAATTCCAGAGCCACGGAAACGAATTTAATCTTGAACTGTAAAGCCACCGCAGTGCGCACGATAATTGTAAGTTTAACCAACCGCAAGAAAATGAAAGCTAAAGAGACGGGACAGTGGGGACACGCAATAAAAAGGGGAGCTATGCGTGGGAAGTACGTGGAAAAGAGAAAGAGAAAAAAAGTGATGAGGGGAAGGAAATACGGGAGACGTGCGCGAGACACGCACTGTGTCGCCATCTGTTGGAAAGTGAAAGTGGTGCTGCCATCGAGAAAGAGACGCGCATACTTCAAAGCGATAAAGGCGCGCGTGTTGGAACTTCGTAGCGTTCTCTCTTAAACGCCTGTTCTTGGCTCAGTTCCTTCACACACTGGCAACATTAGCTGATTGGTACAAAGAAGGCCTAGTCTAGGTTAGAAGAAACGAGTGAAAGAAAGAGGATCGAGACATCTTAATCGTGCAAACCGCATTTTTTCTGCTGGCCTGGCCGCCAGACTTCGAAACGTTCTTTGTGCATATATCGGGTGTTAACCAACCTTTGCAAGCATACGAAGGTAAAAAAGTGTATTTTGGGGAAACAAATGTCTTGATAATATGCCTCGTATTCCCTCTAATCAACATGTTATACGCACTTGCTAATAGAAATAGAAATAACAAATGCTCCACTGTTTTCCACCTCCTCTCTCTCAGATGTTAAGGGAGTATACGCCTTCGTGACTAAAAATTTAGAGAGCGCCAAACGACAGAGTGCACATCGTCTTCTCGCTGCTCCTATCGGAAGATGGCACCAGAAGTTACAGCCCGGTCGCTAACTTGGACGACTGCGAACACGTCCGCTGTTAACCCTGTTAACTCTGTTAACTTTTTTTTGTTTTTGTTTTTACAGGAAGGAAGTTTTTCTTTATATATATATATATTTTTCACAAGGTAACATGCACCACGTTAATGCGCGTCCAGTGAAAGTTTGAGTATATGCAGGCGTCGATTTTTCTGGCTCGTTTTACAGCTGTAGAATCTATTGTGAACACACTGTGTAATGTCCGTATTTAGGATGCTCCTGGTAAATACCTGTGTCCCGTTCTTGTGCAGACTGCATCCACGTGCAGCTGTACCGGGACAGCCGGGAGCGCTGCAAGAGCGGGCCGACCAAGGCGTCGCTGTCCCTGGCCGGCTGCCTCGGCCTCGAGGCGGGCTTCACGCTGGACAAGGAGAGCCACACGCTCGCCCTCATCTGCCCCGACCTGGTGCTCGCCCTGGCCTTCGACTCCAGAGAACTTCTCATCCAGTGGCAGGTCAAGATTCGCGCCAATGTTGCAGAAGGTACGCGTGCCCCCGACTACGAAAGAGGTGGCCGCCGTGCGTGTTGTAAAGAAACGGTTTTCGCTAGATATAGACCTTTCCAATGTTTACAAATCCACAACTCAGCGTGAGATCTCCACAGCTCAGCACGCGCGTGTGCGTCGCTTCGGAAAGCGAGCAAATCACGCGCGATACGCACGAACACGGAAAATGAAACCGGCCAGCAGCCCTTTTCTGGAAAGGTCTATAGACTTAGAATAATGCGCTTAGATGAGCCGGTTGGTACATTGCAAAGGGTATAAAGCGTCGAAAAAACACGGACCGAGACAAGAATATATATATATATACACGATGGTATGAAGTGCCCGTGTTGTATATATTTATATATATATATGTTATTTCCACCCTGCTACTGTTACGAGTTGGATAAAACGTACTGTACCATGGCAAATAAAGCTAGGATTACTTTATTCACTTGAAGATAGCTTGAGAATTTATTTTTCGCCACGTTTAAAATCTGTGATCGAACTGTTCTCGTAGCCGATGCAGGCCGAGCTTGTTGGATTCCCCATGTGGCTGGTGGCTTGGAGAGTGACAAAACTGGTTTAACGAGACGTAGTCATTTATTGACCGTCATCATTGGGAGCCGCGAGCCATACTTTAGCGCAGGTCTTTTATCAATGACCGAGTGCCTCTAGCACTGACAATCCCACTGCGGCAGTAGTGAGCAAAGCATTCGAGACCATCGATCCAATCGGGATGCTTTGACACGTCAGCCGTTTCTCCTAGCGGACCAGTGCAAGACAGTGGAGCTTGACGCGCGCGCGCGCAGAGGTGCGATGCGGTGAAGCTTGATGCCAGAGCGCTGCTTCGGAACGGTAAAACTTGACGCGAGAAATCAAAAAATTCTGAGGACATTATGTTTGATTTGTGAATATTTGAAAAATCTCGAACGCTTCGATTAATAAAGGTGTGCTTGGAATCAAATTGAATAGCAAACACTGCTCGCGAATTATTTCTAAGTTTCTAACAATTGCACACCTCCGCTCAAATCACAAGTGTCTGACTCCAGTCTAAAGGCGCGGTCAGACACTTAAGACTTTTTAAAACCGAGTGCCTTGGAACCTCTTAAAGTCTATTACGATGAGAGGACACGCTGGCACAATCCATTGGGTCGCAATGGAAACTTGGCGGCCCCGCATATTTTCTATTTCTCTCGCGCATTATCCTTTCTTTCTTGGCTCAAAAAACTTTCGTCAACGTTATAAACGAGCCTTTCTCCTAGTTATTTTGCACATTTGACCTCGAAAATCCCGCAAAAACCGCTTTTGTGAAATGCAGTTCCAGGGTCACCGCATAGATGACGCCAGCAGGCCAGTGTGTTCTCTCGTCCTAAGAAATTTTAATAAGAGGTTTCAAGGCACTCAGTTTTAAGGAACCGCAAGTGTGTGAACGGGACTTTATATCTAATAAAATATAATTAGCCAACCAATTAGTCAACAAACCAATCGGTCACTACTATGCTCAGCTTTTACCGGCTCAGTCGCATCAGTTTTACAGCGGAGCTGTTCAGGGCTAGTTTCCCCAGGATCGTGTCCGGTATCAAACAAATGTCGACACCCGTGGCCGACACAACCCTCTGGTTGCCACCGTCGCTCATAGATGGCGGTAGCTGTCCAGAGTGTTGTGTTTACCGGTTGTCTGCTTGCCGTCGTCGCTCATATATGGCGGAAGCATTTCTTCGGAGGAAGAAGAGCGGGAACGGAACGAGTGGCGATGTGCGCAGCAGCGCGAATGGTTTCACAACCGCCGCAAGGCCGCTATCGCTTAAAGTTGCACTGTGTCGAGCGCTTCAGGTTCCTTTGCGAAAGAAGAGCAGATCGCTCGCCTGGAAAGCCGCCGCCGAGAACAGAAGCTACAGCTCCGCTGCTCTTCCTTCACCGGAGTAGAAGGCTGAACGTTTTTTTTGTTTGTAGCGAACCGAATGGCCTTAGCAGATGTTCCCTTGTTCTGTACATACACCTCTAAGCCATTGCTTGGAAAGGAAGAGTGGAAACCTGTTAACCAAGGAGGAAAAAAGTTAATAGTAATTGAAAGAAGGGTAGCGCTCAGGGAAGCTGGAGAAAAGTCGACGTAACTTAACCCAAGACAGGGAAGAAAAAGTGAAGACACATAAAAGCAAAGGTAGACACACAATGTTTAACTAAAAGGTGATGGTACATTAGGCGACTTTTATAATAGTTACAGCACCCATTTCTGCGCAGGATTGGTTTAGCCGCTGATAGCAAACATACTAAAATCAATCAATCAATCGATCGATCAATTTCAATTTTATTCAAAATAAACACAAAACATAGTGCACAGACACTTTTGGATCCATAGCCTTCTTGGCTAGTCTTGGTTCCATTCCAAATGTACAGAAATAAATAACGCGGTGGTTACCTGGCACCCATGCATGTGCTATGCAAAAACATAATTCTTACTCGTAAATTGTTTCTATATAAAACCTTTTAAGTGTAGTTTTAAACGTTTTGCTTTCTTTTATTGGGATGCTTAAGGAATTACATATTTGTGTTCTAGTACACACTATCATTCTTTGACCGTGTATATTATGATACAGCGGAATGTTAAAATTCTTGGCGTAAACATTTCTAGTTACCCCACCCGATTGAGAAAAAATGCTTGATAACAATGGTGCATTATCGGTTAACATATTGCACAACTTTAGCTTTATAATCACGCACCAAGTGAAATGGCAATACATGTCGGTATTGCCGGTAAAAGCGACTTGGCGGCACACTTTTGGCACTGCTTGATTGGCCGTATTGTATTGTGGCCTTGACTGCGGTTGGACTTGATGTGAAAGGGAGTACAGGCCATCCGAATAATCGCCTCTTGTGGGCTGCCATCTTTGTCTACTGGGCTGTGGAGGGCGTTCCTAGCGTGCTCAGTAGTAGGCTCGTGATAATTCAAACTCGAATATTTCGTACTTCTAGTTAATTGAAACAAATTTCAAAATGTTGCTTGTCCCGTTATGTTTTTAAAACTCATATGCCGCTTGATTCGAACGACGTTTTCGTGTAATTCGTACTTTTTGTCCCCGCGGCCCCAATGAGTGCGCTTCTTTCCGAGCACCGGTGCACTGCGGAGAGGCAACACCCGCGAAGCTTGCTTTTGCGAGTGTTGCTTCTCCGCAGCACACTGGTGCTCGGTGAGAAGCGCACTCAACGGGGCGCAAGCAGGGCCCACATAAGCTATGAAAACGGGCACCACACGGAAATTTCCACAGCGTCCGCGCAATTTGCTATGCAAACTGCCGCGCGGTGCCCGTTTTCATCGCTCATGTGCTGAACCGAAATTCGGAGCTCACAAAACAAGGCTGGAGCGCGGTAGGCGGGTTGCTGCAAAATTTGAAAAACATATCACCCATACAGCGATATCTCTAACGGGGGGTCGTATTTTTGGAAAAGAAGTGCGCGATTGAACACGGCCGACGAGGCCGACGAGACATGTAACGTCACAATCCTCGTTCCCTCCTCTTCGCTTTGTCCCCTCGAGCTGATGAACCGAAGCGAAGAGGAGGGGAAGCGAGGCCTTTTCCTCTTAATCTCAAATGTTCCAGGAAGGATCGTGACGTCATGGTCCTCGCTTAATCGCACCCCTCTTTTTTCAGAAGTACTGCCATCTGTTTGAGATATCGGTGTATGAGTGATGTTTTGGAGTTGGTAGCGCCCTGTTCAACGCTTCTGCAGCTTTATTTGGGGAAATTCAAATTTCGGTTCAGCAACTTTTTAATAGGTTACATTAGACAACTTCTTGGCCTGATGAACAAACCTAATTTTGTTTTGAGTTGTCATGTGCTGTCTAAACAGTCTATGATAAACAATATTTTTGAGGGATAAATAAACTTATGTCATACATTTGATAAATGTTTCATGTGTGGCATACCTGCTTATGACCAGTAAGGCCATGTAGAGAAGTTCATCAAATATCTGCTTTTAATGTGTAGCCATTAATACTTCCTTAGTCTGGTTACTCTTGTCATGCGGTACAATATAGTACCTTTTGTGCCCCTTGATTCCTGCGTAACCACGCTTTCTCATGAGTGCATTACTTATACGACGAGTAACAAACATGCTCTTTTTGTGCCGCATGATACCATGGGTAACCAGTCTCATAGGCAACCAGTTTCATTGGTAACAAGTCTCATGGGTAATAGCTTTATGAGTGATATGTCCGTGACCTTGGAGCCCTACCCCAACGAGGCATAGTTCTCGGCGCTTTAGCGGGTGCTTTGACAGCTGACGTGCTTTGCACACACTCAGAGAGGGAGCAAACTATAAGCAGGCACACACCAAACTGTCCACTAAAAATTTGAGAAATATGCTTCACGCGAGTTGAACTTGTCATGCTGCTTTGTCTTAACTTTTCGGCTGGGTGTGCTCCTGTATCTCAGTAGAAGAGCAGTAAAATATATTCGGAACGCCGAGCTGCCTACATGGGTGCTAGAAACCGAGATTGTGTATGCCAGTTAAAGAGACTTTACAGGTTACTACACCTGCTAAATGACCATGAAACATATCAAGCATTTGTGACTCCTATATCACGTGCCATGCAGATTTGCTGTGAAGGCACATAAACCCTCTTTTTGTTTTCTTAATTAACACTCCATGCTTAGAACTTGCTAAAAATAAACACTTTTAAATGCTTCCAGCATCACTTCATAGTTTAGACTGATTTCTAAGAAATAGCCAAGTGCACCTAAATAATTTTAGGAAAGCTACCTAAAATGACTTCAGTTATATAATGAAACACAATTTGTTTTTAGTCCCACGAAAACTTTGAAAGCTGGTCACATAAAAACAAAGACCACCAAGTGCGACGCTTCAAAATACAGACTTACCAACTTTCCCCTTCTCAGGCACAGAATCGCAAGTTGCAGATGTTGCTGCAGTTAAATTCACTAGAGGAAAAAGAGGGGTTTATGAGCCTTCAGCGTTAGCGTCTGCTTAAAAGTTTGAAGCGATCGAGCGCATTCATTTTGTCAAGCTCACTCACCTAGGGTGCCAAGCTGTGCTGGTGGATGCCTGCAGATCAAGCACCACCTTGCCAGGCAGTCGGTGTATCAAAATGAAACCTCATGTGTGAGGAATGCCCCGCACGAACAGTTATCCAATATGCAGGACCCAGGACAGTGTCGGCAAGGTCGGTGCTCATGAGACGTGGTCGGGTTGACATTCTTGTTCTTGTTAAAACTTCTGACTACATGAGAAATCTGGGGAATTCATAGTGTTCAATGTGTCTACAGAAGCAACGCTGCTTTTGCTCTCACTTTTTGTGAAGTTCTCAACCCCCTGGTGAAACATCTACACAGAGAAAGATAATCTTAGTTCCGGAGCGTCCAGTTTCTTTGGCCATCGGTCATTTTCTTCCCATGCGGTCTTCATCCAAAGTTGTTAATGATATAATATAAAGGTAGGATATGACGGCTCCGCAAAACTCCCCCTCCACCCCCACATGAGTGACGATTTGAAAACGGGAGTCACAGATGATGGGTAACCAGTTTGTAACTCATGATACGCACTGGAAAGATGATACGCCTGGATGATACGCCTAGATGATACGCACTGGAAAGGTCTACAATCCTGGGAGCACAAATAAAAAGATAAAATAAACTCTTTTTTCTCGAAAACCTCAAAGCTTTGTGTTTTCATTCTTTGTGCCGGAGCACTGACCTAACAACCCTTCATTCACGTTTCAGTCCAACAGTTCCTGGTGCAAATCTGGCACTCTCCGGGCCGCGCCAAGCTGGCCAGTGGTCCTGCGCGACTCCATCTTCAAGACCACTTGTTCTGTCTAACCTCGGGCATACCCCCAAGGCTTCTAGGCACGTGGCCACTCAAGGAGCTGCGTCGGTTCGGTCTCGTTGATGGAAAGTTCTGCTTTGAAGGCGGCTCCAAATGTGGCAAAGGTACACTCTGATCAGTCCCAGAACATTGGTTCTAAGGGGGCAAATCTTTTCGTCAAAAATGAGAAAAAAGGTCATATCTAGGAGATAAATACTTTTTATTTATAAAATAAAGAGTTTTCATCAGTTACACTATTTAAAGGGACAATGAAGACGATTTTATTTAATTTTTTTTTTAAATGGTGTTTTTATGCTTCTTGGGAACATAGCATGCTGCCCAATTTTTTCTATACGTTTGTGACGCGTAGTTCTGTGTTTCCGAAAGAAGTAAAGAAACCGAAACTGAACAATCTCCATTCTCGTTTTTGGGCCTCCGAAAACGGAGGTGACGTAGGGAGTGACGTCAAGTGAGAAAAGTCAATATCTGTAGTATTTAGGAGATCGAGACTCTGTTACCGCAGTGGGTTATAGCAGCGCGGTGGCGCGGTCGTTTCGTCGAATCTGTCAACATAAACGGCAATGCCGCTCTCGCGAGCTAGTTCGAGCTTCCGCTCAGTGACCCAACACAAACGGAACGGGAGTATGTGTGTGGTGGCCTCCGCCATCACCCGTCGGAGACCGCCCAGTCGGCAACGAGCGGCCCGCATGCCGAAGGACAGGGACGCGGGGGAGATGCCGAGGGGAAAGCGGCAGCGATCCGGCCGTTCCTGAAACCGGTTCCTCCACTGGGGACGCTCCCCAAGAAGGAGAAAATAAACAGCACCATTTTTGGTTTTCACCAAAGTCGGACGTCCTCTTTTCGTCGTCAAAGAACACGAACAGCAACCCACACGTGAAAACTAGCGTCAGCCGAACGAATACTGGTCTTCAGTCGACCGTTAGAACAGCCATCTACAGCGCACAAATTTGGCATGACTACCATTCGGCAGAATCCTTCAAATACCATGTTCTTTTTGCATTTTATTTTGTTTGCCCATAGTTGCTTGTTGCCCGTTTCGCGTCCAGCATAGCAAAGAAAAAAAAAACAATAATGCTGCTTTCTTTACGGTTTAGTAATCATTTCCGGTCCAATTTATACTTTTTATGGTTATTGAAGCAGAAATTAGAACAGTATTCCTAAAAATCGCGAACCAAAACGTGACCGAGGGCACGTCTCTCGTTTCGACCAATCACTAACGCGTCTCTTGTGACGTCGCGCTTTTGGCCCCGCATCGGTCACGTGAGCTCCGCTTCTCCTGGCTTCTCCCGCAACTCTCGGGCGTCGCCCCAGTCAATCCTGGTATGATTATTACCGCGACTGTTTAGTTGATTTGCGCGGCACACAAGTGCTGGTTTCGGCTGAAATTTGGGCAACGTGGCCCGAGACGTGCCTGGAACCCAGTTCAATTGCCAAAAAGATGTTCGAAATTGCCTTCATTGTCCCTTTAACGAAAAATTAGTGAATAACATAAATCGCTGCTTGCAATATGGCTTTATTTCCCTACCCTAAAATATATACTCGCAAAATGAACGCCCTTTTTTTCCCAAAATATTGACACAAATAGGGGGTGCGTGCATTACGTGGGGTAAAAGTTTTGCATTTACAGACTTTGTGCAAATGTTATTTAAGGTGCTAATATGACACAACAGAGTGATGAGGCATGTCTCCACTGATGGATGCGACCCGGGGCTGGTCATGGCCGCGCCACAGTAATCATGGTCTATAAATTGTGAATCTTTTTTAGGGCGCTTTCGGCACGCCTTTTGCCGAACGAAAAGCGCCCTACGAAGCTCGCTCGGCACGGAGAGCGACGCAAGTGTTCTTTACAATTTCTGTCCGAAAGTGGACCACAGACGACGGCGTGTTTGTTGACATCAATGCATCCAAAAGACAAAGCATGTCTGCGGCTGGGCAATTCCTCAACCCCAGCTTCAAAAGATGTGCGCGCCGCTCGGTTCCACTATTGATCACTTCCGAAACTATGCACTTGCAGCCATTACGAAAGCGGCTTGGCTTGACTTGACGTGACTTGGCCTGGCCGCTTGACGAAAAAAGAAAGTTGGCTTGGTGGGTTTGGTGGCTAGCTAAGTTGGGCGCAGATCGAGACTTGCAGAGCCGAAAATTTGAGGTGCATTCATTACGCAAAGAAAAAACAAAATTCAAAATACTGATGCCAGTTTGAGGGGTACATTCATTATGCCAGTGCATTGACTATGCAAGTAAATACGGCAGTACACCCATCAAAAAAGAAATTCAGTCCTTTGGCTCCTTGTACTTGCAAACTGGTTTATGACACGGGACGTGTCAACATGAATAGCCCGATGTTCAAAAGAGCTAGCCCTGTGAGGCGCTCTATGGTCGTTTTTGCCCACAGCCTAGTCTTTGAGCAACGTACCTTTGAAAACATGCGCTTTGCCGAGGTGTCAGTGACTGGCAGGAATTTTAGATTCAGTAGTAGCGTTCACACATACAGATACACATTTCCTTTTCTTCTTCACGCGGTGAACTGCTTCAAGAAAATTATGCCAGCTATTGTCACCCTGTCACATGGTGCCGCTGACCAAAAAGACCTCAGAGCAATGGTTAACATTCTTCTCTAAAAAAAGACGACAGAACTTTGAAATAATCTGTGAGGTGCGGGTGATGTACATCGTCGAAGTCAACTGGCCACCTCCAGTGAACCAGAGGGCTCCCTCACTCATTCTTCGTGCGAATGTAAAAAGAAAATTGGAGTGAAGGGGTGTTTGGGGGAGGAGAGGAGAAGGAGGAGGAGGGGGAGGGGGAGGTGAGTTGCAAGCGACCATCCTTTTGCCCCCCCCCCCCCCCCCCCCCCCCCCCCCTTCCTTAGGACCTTAGGATAGCCACTCTGATACTGTCAGAGTCGGAGGAGTGATTTGCTTTGCTCCTTATCTGCTCCTAAGAGATCTCCGACATTGCACCATTGCTAGTGCACTGCTCTTCATTTCTTTCATTACGCAACACTATAGTTGCTTATGAGTATGAACTAAATAGTCATGCCATTAAAATCATTACCAATATTTCATTCAGTACTTCCTGCAAAATATGAACACAGCATTATAAGATTAAGCCGTTTCTGATCGGGTTCATAAGGAAGTTTTCTTGATTTATTGTGCTCTTTAAATTTGGGCATTAGTTTAGCATGAGAAAACCTTAAAACTTCAATTGCTGATCTAATAGTGAAATATTGTCTATGAACAAATCCCATAGGTTCTCTGAGGTAGCTAGTTATGTTGCCATGTGCATGACCCAAAAGGAATGCGCCTCCGCACATTTAGAAGATTAATGTTTATTCTTACCCCCAGCTTAAAAGATAAGGAGGCCAGAATGACCTTGCCTAGTCAGTCTCCTTAGCTCACTTCCGAACATTCCACGTCGAATGTTCGAGATGTTGAGTTGTAGTAGCTGACCGTGGTTTCGCTCAGACTCTCCGGACGACGAGGTGCATTCACTCTCATGCTACCCAGCTGCCACGTCAACACACCCTCGCTCGTTGCAGCCGCCATCGATGCTCGCTGCTGCTTTCTCTACGTTTGTTTTTTCTTTTTGTTTGTAGCACAAGTTTGCAGATTAAACCTTTATTTCCAGTTCATCATTCATTGTCTTGTCGTCTTCATCCGTGACAATAACTATAAATTTTGCATAAGCAAGGAAAAAGCCAGGTTAATATAAAATTAAGTAATTAAGATCAGATTTTGTTTTTCTCACTTTTACAAATTGAAATTGGAAGTCCTCACATATTCATGGCACATCTGTACAATGGAGCTTACGGTATTTATTTGGTAAAATCCGTGGTACAATGAAAAATAAAAAAATGTGTATTGATTTGCCAAACTTCAGACGTTGCTACAGTTTCGTGGCAATATTTGACTCCTTTTTTTAATAAAATATTATTGAGTGCAAGAATAAAGCTACTGTGTTTTCTAGATGCATGTGCACAAAAACACGTCGAAGAAGGTTTTCTTTTTTTTTTCTTTCGCTGGACTTCTGTGCTGTGGAAAAGCGGTACACGCGACATCAGCAGAGCGGGTGTCGCTCCACCACAGAGCAGATACGTCGTGGGAAAAACAAACTCAACGAAGCTGACCTAGTCCATTAGAACGACCTCGAAAAATATTCAAAATTAGTAAAAAAATATATGGAATAAACCAATATTCTGTAGGATACACACAAGTTTCATATCTTTGCACATGCCTACAAATTAGTCCTGTATGCAAAGGAAGTTATGAATAAAATTTCACTGTTTGCAAAAGCTTAAAATGCAGAATTAATAACAATAATGATAAAATTAATAATTTATTTGGACCTCTTGAGTCATGGCTAAGGAGGCAAGAGGTAAACAAATTTTACCTGACTAGGCCCCACCCCCCTTAGATTACTCAGTGAACAATAAAAGAAAAAGAAAATGCACACAAGGAAATACCCCTTCACGAAAGTTTATTAAATCTACAGAGCAGTAGAATGCTCTGCAGTTTCATCACATTTGACTATGTCAGTATCTTTACCATATTGGTATCTCATAAGAGCAATGTTAGTAATTCATATTACTACAGTGTGTTCTGCTTACTTTTAGTATAAAAATTTACTTTAAGCAATATCACTACAGCGCTGAACTTGTGCTTTTTATAAAAAAAAACTGAGTTGCTTAAATAGCTAAACAAACACTATACATTACGCAAAGCTTAAAGGGATGATGCAACAACATTAACTTCCAAAGAAATTTGCCATTTGACATTGTTTCCTTTACCAAAAGGGATGGAAAACCGCCTCATTCTTTTGAGATATCACGATTCCGTTGCGTAACAGCATGGCAATGAACAGGAATATTTTGCGATTTGCAGCCGCGAGGGCCTTGGGAACTAGGGTGTGAATGCCAACCTGGGTGCATTGCGATAAGTTGGCAAGATGTGCCATTATGTGCTCAATCTAAAGCTCTCTTTTATAAATATTTCCCTTTCCATATAAGCAAATGCGGTAAAATTCTCATATCGTTGACAAAATTGTACTGTATTTAGAGAGCCTAGATTGTAGAGAAGGTTCATCTCAAACAAAAAAGAGCATTTGCAATTTAATGGCAGACGCTTCCTTTGGAGATTGCAGGTGGAAAGACAGAGAAGTCTGCAGAGGATCAACGCCTTGGGCACCTCCTCGCAGGTCGTATTGCAAACGCAACCCATGAACCATGTTACCTCAATTGAGCAGTTGGAAACTCTCTGTAATACAGGATCTATAACCATACTCAGTTTTAGTGGCCTTATCTGCCCGAACAAACCATCCCTTTCTCGAGTTTCACCCCGTTGCTGCAAGCGCTCCCCTCCCCCCCCCCCCCCCCCCCTCCCCTCCCCTCCCCTTCCCTTCCTTTTTCCCCCCTTCGCATCGCTCAGACCAACCTTCAAGGTCGCCATGTGAATCACAGGTAGAAGCATGCATGTGTTGGAGGCTCTGAAAGAGAACCCAACCAGACGCGCTGTCCCTAGTGCCCCTTGCTACACGTCACTGCGCACGTGACTCGGAAGACAGTGTAAGAGTTGAGAGCGGTTGGGAGGTGCCCAAAATTTCAATTGCTTGACAAGTTTTTCTTATAAAAAGACCTATTGTACGCAGGAAAAATTGGTTTTCAGTTCTTTAAATTCGACATGACAGGGAACAACTTTGACAATTATTTGACTGAAGTACAGAAATTGTGGCACAGCCCCTTTGATAGCTACAAGGGAGGTTCCGAGTAAGAAGAGCTCTCATTAATGAGTTACTGGATGAAAGAGTGGAGCAAAAAATGATAGACATTTACAATTCTTTGTAATGCCAAATTACAGCGCAGCTCTTCTGGAGGCGGAGGGGAGGGTGCAGTGGGGAGGGTATGCCCCCCCTCCCCCTCCCTTTCTTCTGCTCCCCTCCCATTTAGCGGAAAATTTTCCCCGCTATATTTAGCAGAAAAATTTCCCCACTAAGTTTAGCCAAAAAATTTCCCGCTAAATTTAGCGGGGAAAATGTTCCGCGAAATTTAGCGGGGAACTTTTCCCATAATGCAACGTGCGGTTACACCCGCCTGCATTATTCTCATAATGCAACGCACGTGGTTACGCCGACGCCGACGCCCCTCAAGTCGGAAACGGGCGCCTAAGAGCTGCACTCTAATATTGTCCCTGGACATTATTTGATATTGTGAACTAGCTAGTAGCTGATGCCATATTCATGACAACAAATCTCTCTTGTCTCTGGTTTCAGGTGAGGGCCTGCACGTGCTGCACACTAACCAAACAGAGGAACTGGCTGAAGCCTTCGAGGCAGCATCTCGTGGGAAACTGGCCAGCCGCAAGAAACTGCCATGCAAGCCTTCCGGTTAGTCAGCACCATCTCCCCCAGAGATTGTGAATGCATGCTGAGGTATACTGATCAGCCAAAACATTATGACCACCCCAACATTGTTAGAATGAGCGAGCCTAGTGAACACACCATCTGCATTATCTACCACCTTCTGATGCTGATGATAGATAATGACTGCTAGGAATACAGAGCAATAATTATACCGACTAAGTGTGTGTGTATATATGAGAAAATCTGCTGAATTAAGCAACTTTCACAAAGGGCAGATCGTGATGTCAAGGTCACTGCTGACTGGTTACACCCATTTCTGGCTTTTCTCCACTTGAACTGAAATCTTCCAACAGGGCAACGGTCCATGCCATAAGGCCAGAATTGTGCTACAGTGAATTGAAGAACATGATGATGAATTCGAGTTGATGTCCCAGACACCTAACTCGTCAGATATCAATCCTACTGAGCACATCTTGGATGTGATGGGGCACCAGCTCAGCGCTCACAAACCACCTCCTCATTATGTACAGAAATTTGGCGACCTGGCGCTTATTAATCAGGGACAGTCTTACTTGAGGCACTTTCCAAGGACTTGTAAAATCTTATGCCCAGATAAGGTGCAACTGAAAACTAAAAAGAGAAAAAATGTAGAGCCCTTCCACTTCACGTGAAGATGGAGGACCAGCGAAGCTGTTATCTTTACGACGTTTAGGACGATGCCTAGAGGACGAAGTCTAGGACAACCTCAAGGACGACGCTTAGAAGACAACGTCTTGGATGACCTCAAGGAGAATGTCTAGGACGAACTCAAGGACGACGCCTAGAGGATAATGCCTAGGATGACCTCAGGGACAATGTCTGGGACGACCTCATGGACGACTTCTAGGACAACCTCAAGGACGATGTCTAGGACGACCTCAAGGATGACTTCTAGGATGACCTCAAGGACGACCTCGAGGACGACATCTAGGATGACCTCAAGAATGACTTCTAGGACGACCTCGAGGAGAACCTTTTGGATGACCTCTCGGACGACCTCAAGGACGACATGTAGGACAACCTCAAGGACGACTTCTAGAACAACGCCTAAAGAAATTCAGCCTTTCCACTCTGGTGAAAACTAGAGTGAAAAGGCTGAAAAGATTGCCGCCATTTCTGAGCAACGGCGGCAACCAGGCAACTGGCAAGCCGGTTTTCTGGTTGCTGCCGTCCCTTATAGATTGCAGTAGCTATCCGGAGTTTTGTGTCTACAGTTTTTGTCCGCGGACACAATACTGGTGAAACTTAACAGCTCCGCTGTAAAAAAAGAAAAGCATTTTAAAGGTGGATTAACACGGTATTAAATGGGTGGTCATAATGTCTTAGCTAGTAAGCGTATACCACTGCTGCAGTCATGACATTTTCTAACTTAATGAGACAGAAAATGCAGAGGAGCATCGAACTGTACGGATGCAGGTAGCCTACACGGATGCTGCTGCTGTCTCAAAACTTAATGCCGCCAATGTTATGAAGGCCTACTAGTGAAAAATGTCAGCCCTTAATAAGCAAGTTTATGGGAACGCTGGTATGACACTCTTTCATTTAATGACCGTTTAGTAAAGTGAACGAGCAGCATACTTGCACCTGCTGGTACTCAACAATATTTTGATGAGTATAACTTAACCTTTCATCACACCATCAAGAGCAGTTTTACCATTACTTACGAACTAAAGTCCATACCCAACCTATAGTCCGCACGTAAAATTTTCTCATACACAACACACCTTAAAAATTTCTGCTTTATTAGCGCCACAAAGAAGCTCATCATACAAAAATCATCAGTAACATTATCCCTCATCTGCAAAATCCATCACGTCTCCTCATAACGAACGCTCTAGAAAACCAAATCCTAGCACATTCCGCACCTGTAGATAGTCTGCACACCGCAAAATGTCAACTTTTTAACGTGTACACATTTCATGGAATATAATTTAGAAGATATGGTAGATTGCTGCTGACATGCCATATGCCATGTTTCCTCCCCCTTTTGTCTGCAGTTCTGGAGACTCCCTCTCGGATGTCCCTTCAGCCACGAGCTCGGGCTCAGGATTCAAGTCAGTGTTGCAGCAGCGAGTCCCGACAGCCACTCTTGGGCTCTTCCTGCTCCGACGCTGGCTCGTGCGACGCCTGCTCCGAGATTGTGCGCTTCGCAAGCGACGCGCAGCTTTCAGACGACGTGTTCCGCAGTAGGACCTTCTGCAAGGTCCACTACAGGTGAGTTTACACAAAGTTATGCTGTGAAGCACATTGGACTGATGTCATGAGGCATTTTGTGCCCAGATGCTTGGTCTTTGTCTAAGACAGAATGAATTTAGTTCTGAGGTTTTTTATGCACAGCTCAGTGTTTGTCTCCCACTTTAAACGACATACTATGTTATCTGCAGCAAGGTCTAGCATTGAAAGGAACACTAGTCTAGAAATTCTAGGAATCTGGTGGTGACTTCATTGAAGCAGCCAGTGAGAATAAGCTATATGCAACCACTTGTATAATGGCAATAAATATGTCTTGGACTAAAGTGTCGAAAATCACACTTCATGCTGCTCTCATTGTGATGTTGGCCCCCCAAAAATCCTTTTCTGCTGAAAAGTAAAGTTCAATGCAGTCTTTTCAAGCTGAGTGAAAGTGATAGCTCATGTTTGGCCATGAGAGTACTGCAATAAGTAAAGACAGCAGATAATTAACTTGATTGAAAAAGCCGCAAATTTGTAAAATTATGTAAAAACTGAAAGACCACAATGGAATTGGGGAGTATTTCCTACCAGAGCCAGAAGAAACAAGCCCCACTATCATGGCATGAAAGATTTCATGAGTACGCTGCTGATTCGAGAGACATCCAGAATTGCAGCTAGGGCCCCTGAAAATTTCCAAGTTCTCCATGTCCAAATACCGACCTGCAGGCAATAACGAGTGCGCCTTTAATTGCAGGTGGCCATCGTGTGTGTCACACTGTGGTCATGCAGCGAGTGTCTCATCCAGCGAGGCCGAGAGTGCCGACACAGTGTCCCTGACCATCAGTGATATTCAGGAGACCCCTCCCAGTGCCAAGGAGATGGTGCCTGACACAACTCTTCCGATGAACCCCACTCCAGCAAATGGCAGCGCTCCAGCTGTCTGGTATGAACTGCCTGTTGTGCTTTTGCGTTGGTCTTGAATGTGTGAAAAGAAACCACAACATTGTGATTGAGGTAACTGGCCAAGTTTGTTCTTTGTCGCAGGATAATTTAGCCTTCCGAAATTTACACTAAGGCATCGGTTCTCAAACTTTTCGATCTCGAAGAATGATTATCTCTCTTGACTGATGGCCAGAAAGCCCCCTTTTAATCTAGCACTGATGTAGTGAGTACAGAAGCCGAAGCGCAGACACACCCCTTGAGGCAGATCTTGCTGCCGCAGCGTACCTGTAACAGACAATTACATGGATAAAATAGAATCCATTAAAAGGGTCATATAAAAACTAACTAGTATATAAAATCAACTCTTAAAGGGATACTACAACGAAATTTCGGCGCTCACTTTTTGGTCTATGTGTGTTCAGAGGAGCAGTATCACATCGGACACACCACTATCTTGTTAAAAAAAAGTCACGAAAAGGAATTTTAAAACGAATCAAACGATTAGCAAAAACCACCTGGTGCATGTCGCTAACGCCTCGTTTGTAATGCTCGTGTAGGAACCTTGACAGCTAGTGACGGAGACTGTCTCGCCTTCGGCCACGACGAAAGAAGAGGGGAAGGAGGAACTCCCCTCTTCCCGAGAATCCCCTTTGTGTGTCCCAGAAGTCGGTATTGTCCACCTACAAGATTATAGAAGATTAACCCGTCACTCAAAATTCTTGCAAAAGCAGCCGCTTCCGTGGCTGGAACGACTAGGCCATCCTCTCGACGTCAGCCTCGCCGTAGCTTTGCTCGTCCCGAGACAAACTACGTCACGATTGCGTTGGATGTCAAGTGCTCTTCGCTGGCTGTCCTCCGAGCGCTTGCCAGAGTGGGCCGTTTATAACAAAAAATACAGCTACCATGCTCAAAATACAAACGTGCGATTGTCATTTACGGATATTGTGGATCATATTCAACCTATTTTTGAACAGGACGGGTATATTTCAAATTTCGTTGAAGTATCCCTTTAAGATTCAGTACAAGTTTTCACTTCCTCTACCCTAAAAAAAATGTGCCATAGTAGCTTTTAGAACAATTTTAAGTAAACGTGTCGCTTTGCTGAAATTCCTTTCGGAAAGCTCATATACTACATGGCCTTTTTCTTCAGTAAACACGGAAATAATGGCGGCGAGGAAAGATTTAAACCAAACAAAGAATCGAGTTTGGATGTGGTTCACACTTTCGCAGGACGTACACTCACTGCGGCAAGTGCGGGAGGCACTACTGTGCCCGCTGCAGCTACGGCAGCCACAGCAGCCAGAGCGGCAAGTCTCCGGATGGAAGCAAGGGCTTTGCACCTCACTGGACCATGGATCTGAGGGTGGCCCCCTCGCAGGCCAGCGATGCAGCCGTGCATTCCAGGCTATCTGGAGTGGGCAGTATGGCAGGGTGCGCCCACCTGCCCAAGCCCTCGGACCGGTCGTCGGTCTGCTCCCAGAGCAGCGGCACCAGCAGCGCTAGCACAAGTGGCGCCAGCACGAGCTCTTCCGAGTACAATGTGCCCAGGAGTTTCCTCGAGTCGCTTTACGATCAGCCACGGAACATCATTCACACAGACAGCGAACTCTTCAGGTGGGGAGCTGAGATGTGGCGAGCTGAGATGTGGCATGAGGGAGTCATTGTTTGTTTCCAACAAATGTAAGCTATTCTATTTAGTGTGGCCATTTTGTCATCTGCTGGACATTGCTTATATTGTATACCCTCTTAATTCATTGTTCTTCAGAATTTTGCACTACAAATCATCTGGGAAAGGGGTAAGCAGTATATGACATAAGCACATAGTGTTTGACAGATATAGCATTGGCCTAATTATTTGCAATGTCAGCATTTTCACATACTTCGCATATTCAGCCAAATTGCAAAGCAGTAGTTGCATGAACATATACCACCGTAGATAGAAATTTGAATATTTTGGAAACATTATTGAAGTGCATCATTAACTGCTAGTACAAATACGTGACTGCATGTTTGTAAGATAACAGTCATAGGACCGGCTTTGTGCGTTAACTCCGGCTCGCAAAGAGCCTTTATCCTATTCACAGATCTCATCATAAAACAATGCTCGTGCTTGTGACTCACTGATTCATTTGCCACTTTTAACAAAGTTTAAAAAAAAAAAAAAAAACATTTTACTTACAAAGTCACAATACAAGAATTAGGTGGTTCCTCTTGAGCTCATCGACCGGAAATGATCATTAACATAGCGATTGAATTTTAACAAGAATCTACTTGTTAAACACAAGAAAATAATCAGAGAAAATCCCCTGTTCAACATGTAAATGTTTGGAAACATGTATGTTTTTAAACCAGCAATATTATGGAACAAAATTAAAATGAGGAATTGGCTGACAAGTGCAAACCTGCACGCCATAAGGCGTCCGTTCATTACATATACGAAGCCCTATGTGAAGTGAAGCATATGAAAAATGAACTCTCATTAATTCAAACTCCAGGAAGCCACGAATTTTGTTTAAAATATCAGAAATTCATCTAAATATGATGCAAGATAAAATTATGATTTAACATACTATTAATGGCTAGACATACAAAACAGATATTTAATGATTTCCTCTACATAGGCCGACTGATTATAAGCAGGTATGCCACGCATGAAACGTCTGTAAAATGTATGATATAAGTATATTTATCCCTCAAAATTGTTATTTATCATGGACTGTTTAGATGGCACATGACAAACCAAAACAAAATGAAGTTTGTTTATCAGGTCAAGGAGTTGTTTAATGCAAACTATTAAGCAGGGGATACATGAACAATGAAAACGGGCACTGCACAGCTGTTTTCATTGCAACTTGCGCCGACGCTGTAACATGGACCTGTGCCATGCCGTCACGTCAGAGCGTCCGCGCAAGCTGATGCGGATATTTCTACGTGGTGCCAGTTTTCCTGTGTGCTCTGCTTGAGCCCCGTTAGGTGCGCTTTTCACTGAGCACCGGTGGCCTGCGGAGAAGCAAAACCGACGGAAGCAAACCCTGCGGGTGTTGCCTTTCTGCAGTGTACCAATGCTCGGAAAGAAGCGCACTCAGCGGGCCCGCGGGAACAGAAAGTATGGTTTGCACGAAAACGCCGTTTGAATTAAGCGGTTTACGAATACATTGCAAATATAGTGGGACAACCAAAATTTTAAAATTTGTTTGAATTAACAAGAAGTATGAAATATCCAAGATTGAATATTGCGAGCCTACTGGAAAATTGATGGTTTACTGCACTCATTTTTCACTGTCCCCGATTGTAGTGTACAATTGAGGACATGACACTCCAACTAAAATTATTGTAATTTTCTCATCTGCCAATTAGAGCATATTTATTGTATCGGCCTTTAAATCAACATGTCAAGCATGGAGGTTGGAAGAAGAGCAGACGACATACCGGCTCAGACCAGCAAAATGAGGAAATCCCAAGTGAAGCTGGAAGTAGAGGATGTGGTCGGTGGCAATAACACCCCAAGGGTGACCAAAACTCAGCCAAATCCGCTGTTCTTTCCGTCCAAAAGCATCCTTTGGTTGTGGTCATCGTTGGGGGCATGTCCCTCGAAACCAGAAGTCTCCCCTGGCTTCACCTCTGGTAGTGTAATGTTGCCTCAAGAAGCTTCCTACCTCCATGATGTTAAGTAAACTAACCTTTATGAACACTGGAAGTTTCGCAAAATTTTAGTACTCTTGATGGAGATATGTTTTAGGTTGTACCGCTGCAGGTCGGTTCCACCACATCATTTCACAATGCACTATATAAGCATCTGAGTGCCTTCTAAAATGCAAACACGCGTCTTTGACATCTTCTGCTCAGATGGGCAAGATTAAGGGAATATGCTCCTTAAAGGAGCACTCCGGCGATTTCTTCATGGTCCTCGATTTGCTTCAAGTTTTGTTCAATTTGCCAAACAACATCGCTAAAATAGTATCCCAAATAAGTAACTTTTTCACTAAATTATTGAATTAACATTGTTGGTCCTCATCGTGTTTTCCAAAGTGAAAGTCTCTACTGGCAAGAACGAAAAAGTGACGTCAGTGGAAGGCAGGGGTTAATCACTCTTTGGACTGTAGAATTTGTTCCCAACCTATTCGAAGCAGTTTCATGATGCCATATGAATGCTTTGGAAGCTCGCTCTAGCACACAACAAATGATTGGCATATTCTATTTCTTAGACTGCTTGCTCAACTGGCAAGCCTGCCCGCCACTGATGTCACGGCACTGAAAAGTGCAGCGATATTTGAATGTTGGTTTTTGCATCATCTTCATTTGCCGATTTCACTATAACTATTATGAATTTCGCAATACTAAATAGCATACCAGAAAGGGTAAAGGCCGAGGAGTCAGAAAATATTGCTAGTCGAGGTAGCTCAAAAAATCGCCGGAGTACCCCTAAAGCCAGTTCACACGTGCATTGCAGCACTGAGATAGCACAAACTCGGTGCTACGTCAGTGCTACTGTAAGCGCTGACTCAACATTAAGTTAGCAGTGCATTGCGTGTGTATAAGCAGGAAGAGCCAAAGTCACCTGCATTGAAGCACTGATACAGCACGACATAGTGCAAACTCAACAGCGTGCCCATAACGCCAAGCTAGCGCTGCATATGTATGTGTGAACGAGCCTTCACTTGAAATTCGCTCACCAAATATGCAGAACTAATTGCAGTTCTCGGTTGAATTCCCGCACCAACAGGGTGCGCCCATCGTCTTCCGGTGCAACACCGTCGCCCATGGTGGACCTGCCGGCGGGGATCCACCAGAGCATGCTCCCTTGCCCGTGCACCTCGCGGAGCAGTCAACCGCGCGTCGACTCCGGCATCACCCGGTCCAGCTCAGGGTCGAGCGACTCCCCGCTGGGGTCGCCCAAGCGTCTGACCCAGGCCGCTTTCTTCCCCGCCCCTGTGGCCAAGCCCCTCAACAGCCCCGTGCCCTGCCAGACCCCCAAGTCTGCCTGTACCTGCGGGCTTAGGCCCCTGGCTCAGTACCTCAACTACGACGTGCCCAGGGCGGCCCTTGCCAAGCTTTACTTAAGAGTGAGCTTGAGTGTAATTTTTTTTTTTTTTTAATGTTCTGATTTTTTATTTGGTGTCTATTATCTTGTACTACGTCACTGGTTCTGAAATTGTTTTCCTAGGAAGATTCCCAAATTACTCTCACAGGTTCTCCGAGCCCCCAGATTTCCTTTACCATCCCTTCTCCTATAGCAAAGCATTTTTCCAGCTTAAGCACTCTTTTATAGCAGGCCTGAGCCACTGCAGAATTATGAGCCAAACACTCCTTAGTATATGTGCTTTATTGTTCACGAAGTTCATAAGCTTCTGCACTCCACATTTTGAGTGGGCGCTTGACCGGTATTTTACAGTAGTGCCGAGACTGGGAAAGTTCTTTAGCTGTCAATCAATAGGGATGGTCTTTTCTTAAAATCAAAACGTTTGAGGACCCCGTACTACATTGTCGAGCCAGCGTAGCTTCCACAATGCTGCAATCCCGCACTGGTGTGAGAGCATGTGGCATTGTATTGCATCTCATTCGCATGCACTCTTGCGTGAAGATTTCAAATGAAGCCACACACTTGCACAAGTAGCTCTGACAGCACTAAAGCACTGTGAAAGCTATGCTAGTCTTGGCAACATAGCACAAAACAGTTGACGCCAATTATATGTGCCACGTCTATTCTCCAGACTTGTCAAATGTAATGATGTTGCCTTCTGCGAGCAACAGCTGGCCCAAGTTTTAATTTGATAGGGGTTAATCAGATGATGCAGACAGAAAGTAACTGTGATCAGAGCTTTCATTCAGTCTGTCTGTTGCCCCAAAGACTGACTGTTGAAGCAAAGGTTGTACCCAGGAAATGAGCTAGGTAACATCATGTTAAGAGGCAGCACAACCCAGGCAGCACAGCTCAGTCAGCATCTTATCGTATTAAGAAATGCTTCTGTGCATGCAACTACATTTAGAACATTCTTGCATTAGGAGGAAGCTGTACTTTTAAACGTTGGTTGGAAGGCTTGGAAGGCTGACTGGGAACAAGTGAAGTTTTTTCTAGCACGGGTTTTTGAAACAGACTTAGAGTTTGAGTTTTAAAGGGAGAAAACCAATAGGTTTTCTAAATGCGATGTTGCTCACTAGTGCCCTCAACAGCTTCCAGATTACTCATCTCTTCAAATATTTTTTGAACAGGAAAAACAAGGACAGAGGAGCTCCTTTGAGGGAACAGCTGATCCCAAGGGGAATGATCTACCTACAACCCCTGGACAGCAGTATGATGTCCCCAAGAAATTCAAGGTAAATGTTTACCAAAAAGTCAGCTCATGAACTCTTTGGGAAAGAGAGGTGTGCTTTTTGAATTCACTGAATAGCAGTTGGTTAGTGTTTAAAGGGGTACTCCACCGGTTTTTTCATTGTTTCAGATTTGCTTGAAATTTTGCTAAATTAGCCAACAAACATTGCTAAAATAGTTTCCCAAATATTAGGTCAAAATATTGTTTTTTTGCGAAGTTATTGAATTTACAGTTTTGGTCTGCACCATGTTTTTCAAACTGAAAGTCTCTATTGCCAACAACAACAAAGTGACGTCATGGGAAGGCAGGGGTTAACTTTTTGGACTACAGAAGTTGTTCCCAACGGATTTGAAGCAGTTTCTTGGTGTCAAATGAGTGCTTTGGAAGCTCGCTCCTGTATCCGCGCTCCGGCACGGAACAAATGATTGGCATATTCTATTTTTAGACTACTTGCTCGACTGGCAAGCCTGCCTGCCACTGACATCACGGCACTGAAAAGTGCGCGAATATTTGAATATTGGTTTTTGCACCATTTTCATTTGCCGATTTCACAATACCTATTATGAATTTCGCGATGCTGAATAGCATACCGGAAAGGCTAAAGGCCGGGGAGTCAGAAAATATAGTTAGTTGAGGTAGCTCAAAAAATCGGTGGAGTACCCCTTTAAGGAAAGCTCAAGCAAACCTATTTGACTGGTGCACTTCTCAAAATATTAACATAAATAACAGAAAACAAAATTTCACAAAAAAAACTTCTGCTGACAAGATGTGAAAACATGTGACAAATTTACAACTGTATTCGAACCGGTATAAAAAATAGCAAAAGGTAGATGGTTCATATCAGACCTTGCTTTAATAGGTGCTGGGAAAGGAAAACTTGGACACCTTGAAAGATGTGCTTTAACTTAACGAGGTGCATCGCATTTGCAGGAACAGTTGATCCAGCAAGAGTGCCAGGCCTCCGGCCGAGCGGGCTGTGTGCTGCCAGTCGCCTGCAACTGTGGTGGTGGGCTTCTGTCAGAGCCCCTGCCCACCTGTCATGAGCCATGCACATGCCGGAGGGTGGCTTGCTGGGCAGGTAGCCTAGTGCCCTGCCTCCGAAGAACAGCAAACTGTGGTGAAGACAGCCACCCTGCCCAAGTGGTCCCCCTAAACTGCCCCACCGCCCCAGCTACCATCTGCAAAGAGCCTGGAAAGAAAGCTGAATGCGGGTCCCTACAAACTCCTTTCGTTTCTGCCGAGCAATTGACGATGGACCACAAGTTCCCGGAGGACCCTTGCTCGAACTACGCCAACTGCCAGTTCATAGAATCCCTCTCCCTCTACCAAAACACATGTGGCCTTTCTTTAGCCGTGCAGCAGCCTGAAAACGAAAAGACGCTAGAAGTTGTGAAAGAGCAAAAGGCGTCTGCAGGCACGAAGACCTGCGAAGCATCTCCTTTACATGGCAGCAAAAGTTTGGAAAGCACTGCGGACAATGCGGGTTCGTTGAAGAGGCCAAAAGTGAAGAGTTCCCCGTCCAACTCGTCAGGAGAAAGTTACGAGGTGATGTCATTTCGCAACGCTTCTGACTATCGCCTGACTGTCGTCTGCGACGGAAATTATGTGGCAATGCGACCGATCGAACCTTGTAAATGTGACAACGAGAATAGATCTGCCAGTGTGAGCCGAAGCGAGAACCAAGACACAAAAAGGACTCCACTTCCGCTGCGGCCTTTCATGCCTTACTTGCTTCCGTGCGAGGAAGAATTTGTGGAGGAGGCGTCTTCGGACGAGCCCGGCTGGAAAGCTGCCGAGGGCTCCAGAGCTCGATTCTTCAAAAATGGATGGTCCAATGGTGGAAAGTCCTCCCAGACAAAACCTTCGGCGCTTTCGAACTCCCTCGGAGACCTGAAGAGGAAAGTCCTCACCAAGCGAAGATCCAATTCTGCAGACGGTCGCCAGGAATCGGCCGAACTCTCGGAAACAGAGGACTACCCCGTGGCATCTCCTACCCGGGCCTGTCAGTCAAAGGAGAGGCGGAGCGCCCTGTCTAAGCTCCCCTTGCGAAGCAGAGAAAGGTCGGGGAACCACCCGGTAGACGTGACACCACCCTCCTCCGTGCCTTCGACACCGAACAACCGCTCGATGGAGAATCTCTTTCGCATTCCATTCCACCGGTCGGCTGACTGCCTCAAGCTCAAAGGAGACTTCCACTTCTCAGAAGAGGACCTGTCTGCAAATGGCAGGGAGACCTCCGACACTCGTGACATTCCCTCTGCCGGATCGAGCATCAAGCGCTCCTCGAGCGTGCCGTGCAAGCCCCAGCCGCTCGACCAGATATCGAGTCCCTCCGATTCGGGAGTGTCCACCAGTCTTCCTGAGAGCTCGGAGACGGTGTGCGAACTGGCGGCTCACGACGGAATCCTCCTCACGGGCATCCACTCCTCGTTACCAACGAGGCTCGACGAGGGCCCAGGATCGACTCCAGGGCACCGAATGTGCGACAATATGAGAAAGTGCACCCACATACAAGAAGGTGCTAAGTCATCTCCATTACTCGTATCATCACAAAATTTTGCATACAATTTATTTTCTCAAATTTTTCCAAAGAAAACAAGTCAAGGTTGTTTTGTAGATATGTCTAGATGTTCACATAGTGCGAGTGTTGGCCTACCTCTAGGTGTCAAGCCTTGTCTTGCAGCTGTAGAGGAGCAATTGCAAGAATTTAGTATAGTATTATACTACACTCATATCTTATTACCATTGTATTCCATTGATATGAATACCCCCTTTATGGACAAAATATTTGGGAACGAAATGGGTAAATGCATACATTGTTATCTCATTGTCCAGAAAGGTGTCCTTATTATTGAGACACGACTGTACCAGAATGGACGTTTGCAGAGAACATGTATTAGTGATTGCGTGAAAAGTCGGCAACATAACAGCTGTAGAAAGTGGAACCTGTAAGAGTGAGAATCGAACTACGATTACATAGGTAGTCTATAGGGTAGGATTTCGCTTTAGCCTATTTGACTGCCTATATGGTGACAAACAACAGCGGACTGCTCATCAGTGTGAGAAGGTTGAAACCTGCAAAAATATTGGTAGATATGCCAGCAAGACTAGATTTGGAAGATCAATATCATAGCAACACATTTTCATACCTCTTACAAAGCAACTGCTAAGCCACTTATCCACCTGGGAATTAATTTCTGCATGTAGGGATGGTCTTACATGCAACACATTCTTGGCAAAGCAAATCTGTTGGGTGATTTATTCAAGAAAAGAGAGTTTTGGAAGATCTTGAGTGGAAACGTTAGATCAGAAGTGAAAGGACAAGCGTATCTTTGAAGGGTTGGACCTGGAACATTCTCTGTGCCACATATAGTATAGGCAAAGGCAAAAAAAAGTACTAGGAAATTTCCACCAAGCTGGTGCATTGACCTGGACTGTGGAAGAGCTCATCTGCGAAAAGAATGGAATCATTTGCATGAATAAATGCTTGCAACTAGTAAATGTACAAGTTACATGATAGGTGAAAGTTTTCAGTTTTAGCATTGCACTTCTCTGAAAACAAAATAACAGCAATGAAAACAGAACAAATCTGTGACCCATATATGGAAAGCTCAGTTTTTTGTTTCCCTCGTAAAAGATTGCTTTCTCATTAGTGGTGAGAAAGAAATCTTTGAAGCCCAATATAAATCGCCTTAGAGCAGGACACAAGTTTTACCAAAATTTTACATGACAACCTCAGCAAAGACACCAAACTCAATCTCAGCTTAATGTGAGCTGCAGAAAAGCGTGTAAGCATGGAAGAATACTTGTACCTCCTACCGCATGTGCATTAGCACTGCTGAAGCACATGCTTTTTAAGTTAAGGAGCTCACACTTATAGCCTTTGCAGCGGGGCATGTTAAGGTGAGACGGGGTATAGAAGACGGGACCAGAGGTCCTACAGCTTGTTGGCATCTTTTGAAAAAATATGTATAAGTACTAAGCATAATATAAAGGCTTGTAAAATCATCACGGTGCGATTCTGACAACCACCATTATAGTTTGTTTCATCTTAAGTCCAGACGTAGCCGACGCTACGAGCTAAAGGAACGCAAATCACGCAGTGTCGAAAGCGCAAGACGTTGGGCTTTTTCGGTGAATGATTGGTTCAGCAATATAGAACACATACAAAAACATGATGGGCACCATGATGGTGTGCTTTTGACGCTGTCCGATTGGTTGGATCAGCTCATGAGCTGTGTCTGTGCTCGAGGTGAAATGAAGTATAGATAACATCAATCGGTAATTCTGTCAAACACTGGCAAAGTTCATAGTGAAGGATGAAACCAAACTTTCTGTGATTATATTTTGAAATTTTTAACAACAAATAGGAAGGCATAGAGGGCAACACTTACAAATTGTGCAAATCCATTATTAAAGGATTTGCAAGATGCAAACGCTGGGTGGCAATGTTATGAGCCGAAATCCGTTTTTACTGTCTGCAACTTCGAATGACGGGACACCTACGTCTGACAAGCACATCGAGCGGTGAAATTGGTTAGCCTGCACTTAATGCAAAACTGGTGCATCCTGATGTCTAAAGACAAAATGATAATTTAAAACCAAAGACAACCCTGTTCAATTTTAACATTAGAGGTTCTAAACACTTGGAATAGGCCTTATATTATGCATATTGAGATTCTTTGCTGAGCTTGTAATGTTTAATGCAAAAATAGTTTTACCTGTCACTACCGAGTGGTGCCACCATGCAAGGCAGTGTGTTTAGGCACTTGATTGCAGTTGTCCTCAACCATACTTGCATTTGGGACCATAGCATCAAGCAGTTCACAGGGCTTTGACCAGCCTCCTAAAAGTTGAAGAGCCTCATTGTGCATGTACCACTAATGCAAACAACTGTCACCCTGATTCTTGTTGCAGCTTTCGCCCGCTGCCCCCAGCAGCAGCAGCTGCAGTACGCGTTGCTGGGAAACGTGGGGCCGGCCATCGGCAAGACCTGCTCGGGAGGAAGCAGCACGACTTCTTCAGACAGCGACTACATCGAGACGCTCTCGCTGTGCAGCAGTGGTAGCAACGGCAGTGGCTCAGAATACGTGCGCTGCTGCGATGACTGCAAAGCTACCCCCGCATGCCCTGCCGTATCCTGCGCGCTCAAGCCACGCTCGGCCAAAGAGTACAATTCGGTTGATCGGTCGGGAGTTCGGCCGGAGGGAGAGGAAGAAAGATATGCCGCACACGTGCTTGCGTGCCACAGAGCCCACCATCATGCGCCCATTCATCTGACCCTACCCAAGGCGTCCTCTTCGTCCAGAGGTTCCCCTGCCAAGCAAGCCTTCACGTCGTCGTCCTCGGTCGGCTGCGGGTCAGCCTCCGACTTGGCCTCCTTGACTTAAGTCCATGGGAGTGCTGCCTAAGGGGAATGCAGAAAGCTCTAGTCTCTTCCAGACGAGGCTGCCATGACACACTGGCAAACAAACGTGTCTATGGTTGACAAAAAGAACAATCTGTTGCGTTCAAATCAAGTGTACAGGTTTCCATGGGCAAAAATGAACAAAACTGAGCTTTTTGTTTTCCTTCTCAATTTGCGATGGGCTACTGCTAGTTTTAATTTATCGTCGGAGCATTTATCTGAGCTGAAGCATCTATCCATTGCATTTTGGGAAGTTGTTGGCATTTCACCTGATTTGCTGTCATTCAGGACAGACCTCCTTTTTATAATTTTTTAAATGTCTCGATGAAAGAGTTTGTGCTGATGCAGTCACACTGGAGAGATGACAAAATGCGTGCCATCAGAAGTTAATTTGAGATCCGTTTATGACTCCGGATACCAAGTTTCCTGCATTCCTTCTTTGTGGCTTTTGGCTCGCTTCACCCTGGAGCTTTCAGATGAGCAAATTGGCTGCTGTGAGGACGCCGTGGTCAATATGAGTGGCATGCCTAGTTGTTAGCTTTGTAGATACACATACTTCATTGATTGTCATCCTGTTTTATTGTCAGAGACTAAAGGCAAGTCTCGCATGATTTCCTAGATGTACAAAGGGAGGGGAATTAATTTTAATGTTTGTACAGGTCACTCTATCGTGATGTTACTTCTTCCCACATGCGAGTCAGTGACACGAGGGGGGGAATAAGCTTTCTTTAGTGCCAGAGATACGTATGCGTCGTATAGCTGTATAAAAATGTTTCCTTTTTCATCGAAGTTTTGTGCAATATAGTTACATACAGCCAACATCTAAGAGAGGAAAGTAGCTTTTTGGTCTCACACCCACTAGCATTGTCTGTCTGGTACTTCCGAACACTAATAACAGTGGCGGACTTAAGGTATGCATACGGATTGTGACAAGTCAGAGTGTGGGTCTTCCTGTTTTGAAAGGGCCCTTTGAAGGTTCTGTTGTCGACGAGTGCAAATATACGGGTGCCACCCATGCACCTACTTGTGCACTCGAGACCTATAAGTATCATATCACGTCATATGGCATATCAATGCTCAAAGGTTGAATGGAAAAGGTAACACAAAGCAGATTAACACATTCTAGTCATTTACTAAGCAAATTACCTATTCTTCCAAAAATGTTCCAAATAGCCGTGAAAAAAAAAAAAAAATAATTTGATGCTTGAAACAGAGTATGAATTTTTCAGAGTTGGTTACTAAGGAGATGGAAGTTTGCACAGGGCCATTTTTGTTTTGCATTTTAGATTTCACTTTATATGGCATTGAATACTGACTCCAAGGTGCTATGTTCAATGTGAGCTGGACAACCCATAGAGTTTTAAGACTACTCCTTTAAATTCGCTCTGGACAACCAGGCAAGTAGCCAGGATTTTGTTTCGGGGGGGGGGGGGGCCGCCCATGACAAAATGCTGTATGAGGGGGAGGGGAGAGGAGGTCCCAGCAAACCGGAAAATTTCGGGGCGGAGCCCGAGCCCCGTGGGCCCTCCCCCTGGCTACGTGCCCGAGACAAACTCATGCAGCATGCAGGCACTGCTAAATCCAGTTTCTTCAGAAAGTATCACTCCCAAGGATAAGTAGGTAATGGGCTTCCGGCTGATTTCTGGTGACACTGAACATTACAGCGGTCCTCGTGCAAGCATGCATTTCAATGAAATGAAATTCTACGCCTAGACTCTAGAGACAGCTCAAGTAAACCATGATAGTTCATCTCTTGTGGGCATTGCCTCATTGTAAGATAATACATAAAAGTTTGTCCAGTATATGGCCAATAGCAGTGCTGGTACAAATACCAATATAGCATCCCGTTAATGTCAGTTCTTTCCCCTTCCCAATTTGTGTTAATAAGATATTCCTTTTGTTTTTGTCTTTCTGGCTACATGTAAATAGGCCTGTATAAAGGCACCTCTTTGGCAATTCAGGCAACTTCTGCCTGGTAGCCGAACTGTCTTTGCGGACGAGGTGTACCCAAGGCGTACATATGGGTTCCCGGTTTCTGTTTTCCACAGGAAAGTCGTTTCCAAAGATACAGTGTCGAGTGAGTCATTGTGCAGTAATGTGTATGTCGATTTCAGCATTTCCCCGAACAGCTGAGTTGGTGTAGACTATAGGCAAGCCTGTCTAGGAGTCACAATAAAAAATGACTGTACAACTTCCACTCTGTTCATATGGTCTTACTTTGCCTCATACCAAGTATAAGACAAGTACAACATGTTGGTTAAGTGCAGCGGTAGGTTAGTGCAAAGTGTTAAGGGCAGTTTGAAAGGAATTATTAGTTAAATAAAAACCTTAATTACAGTACCTGTAGGGTCAGTTTATGCCACCATTTCCCTTCTGCATTGTATTGATATGGACAATTAGACCTACTATGTTAGATTTCAAAATAGAAAAGCAAGTCAACAAATGACCACAATATTCACATTTAAAACAGCAGAGTCACGGATAGATATATTTCAATACCGAGCTGTACATTTAATACATGAGGCAAAGTATTCATTAATTTATCCCCTATGAATCTTGTTTGCAAAAGGGCATGAAAAACATTTGTCGTCATTAGCTTAAAACCCAGGTAAGTGTACACAATGAAATAGATAAATGACTGTGCATTCTCTTCTCAAATCCTTCCAAAAAATTAATGCTAAATGTGAAAAAAAAAAAAAATGTATGCCTGGCTATTTGATTGAGACAGTTTATAAAACAACAATTCCTTTCCTTGCAATCTGCAGTCTCTAGAAATAGTCCATTAGCAGTGAACTGAATGCAGTACATCCTTGAGATATGAGAAGTCCCCAATTACTTTTGGAGAATCACTCTGCTTGGGGATACATCGTCTTGGCTTACTAGCAGTCTGGATTTCTCAAAAATCAACCTCCACATCTGGTAAGGTTAAGCAAGGTCTCGGCAGCTTCTTATTGCCGCAAGTTTGTTTCACGCTGTTTTCAAAATTGGACGTTTCCCGCTCTTCTCTTCGCTTGCATTTGAGCAGAAAGAAAAAGGTGAATTGCTCAAGAAAGCTGGGAGAACTATGCAAGCTATATGTAGATTGCAAATAGAAATTCTGGAGGGGATGAACAAGCACACTATAGTTTCAATGAGAAGCATTTAGGAGGAAGGGAAGTGGCACAATTCTCATATTGCATGAAGTTTTTGAGGAAGTCTGCATTCACATGAACCAAAGATATATCTCAATAAATCCTCTCCGTTACATAATGCATTGCTTCTCTTTTAAAGATGACTTTCGGTAACATTTGAGACCAGATTCTGCACAATATGAATCTAAACTACGTATGTTGAGTTACGTAGGTTTAGGACCGGCTAATAGTGTAATACAGTGGTTCTCAAATAGTGGTCCGCGAAGGCATCCTAGGAGTCTGCGAAGCCCTGTCTCCCGGCAATAAAAGTTGTCTTTTATCAGATTAAGAATAAACATTTCAATTTTGGGGTAAGTTTTCTCGTGTATAGGTCAATAAGAGAAATCTACTTCGTATTAGCCCTTAGTTATATCCATTTATTAAATCACTATCATAATTTACCAATAACTTTTCCTTCCCCTCACCACCAATGGGGTCCTCCATCATCTCCGCCGATCCACAAGGGGTCCGCGAAACATCAGTGGTTGAGAAACACTGGACTAATACACGTATGAATGCATGCCACAATACCCTTTTTTAAAGTCATATGCCGACTGATAGAAGACCTGACAAACTGTACGACGTAACAACCAACATCGCGGAACGTGCAAGTAGCGCAAGCGGGGGTTCATATCACGAGCGAATGACATTTTAGCTAACAGCGGTTACGTGAGTGAGTCTACGTTTAGTGAATGATGTGAATCAGTGGGGTGCGTGTTAACCCACCCAACCCCCCCGTTCACGCCACTTCGCGGTGATAATCTGTGGCGGCTCATTGCAAAAATGTTAACCCGCCTGGCCCACCTGTACAAGCCGCTTCGCAGATGCCTAGTCCGCTAAAGTGTCTTTCAATGAAAAGTCGAGGGTGGGACTTAGTTCGCTATAACATCGTTCGACCAACTGAGTGTAGCTTCAACTTGTTCTCCTGCTGCACGAAGGCTCATGCAGCCGAGGTACAATCGAATGCACCGAGCTCGCACTTGTGTCTGCCACTGTGCAGCGATTCCACAGCCTCCCCCGGAGGGCAGACTTTCAAAAGGGGCCTATTGGGCCGGTTAGCACCATATTTTTGAAGAGCATGTAAATTTAGCGGCCATTTGAATTTGCACATTTGTTATTGAAGTAGCCAGTTCCTAAAGAACACAAATTTCATCACATGTTGGGCAATAAGCTGTCCCATTCCGGACAGTTTATTGCCCAACGAAAATTTTGAGCTATTTCATAGTTTATATTTATTTATTTGTGTACATGCGTATGTGCCTCTTCGTGCCAGCATCCAAAGCTTGAAATTACAATACAGATCAATATGCGCTTATGTGTCGTAGATTGTTTTACTGCATGCTTACTTGTCATCCAGGGGTTTGCATCATTTTGTGCACCCAAGTTTGAAATCGGGCGCTCAGTCAGGATCCTTGTCACTCGTAATTTATGCTGGCCATCTTGCCAACACCGATTGATTAGATCCAGATGAGAGTCTCCATTGCACGACGACATCGTTGGTGACAGGTTAAGTGTTTATGGGAAGCTGCTCCCACCCACGACCTATTGCTCCCACCTGATTCCACTTCAGCAGAGCAAACTCTGGAGAGAAAATTGCCTCCTCTCCAGCATTTGCTCTGCTAAAGTTGAAAGAGATGGCGGGTTGTCACTTCATTTACCCGTAATGAAATGTGCCCCGCACACTCTGTAATATATAAAGCATACTTGTCCAAGTCCGCCCGTCGGATGCAACGGAACCACAAGGCTGGGTTATTTAAAAATTCGACCTTGGCATAGTTTTTGTCGTCTGGCTGGTTTCTAAAATGATTGGTGCAGCCGAAGATCACACAATTCACCATTTTGCAAAGACATATGCCCAGTGGATCAGTAAATGATGCTAAACAAAGAGTCAAATCATGCTGACATTGATGCTGACTACAGAGACAAAGGTGATGCTGACCATACTGGACCTGCTTAACAGGAGGCTTAGGGTTGCCAACTCTTCACTGAAAAGAGTTGGGTCAAGGGTGCAAGGGAGGCAACGTTACTCTTAACTACTCAGTTGGAAAACTGCCACAGAGCCGGCTTTGAAAAAGTGGCTTCGATTCATACTCGAGAACCCAACTAATGGCGATCGCAATGCCGCCATTTCTCCCACAGCGGCCACTCCGGGTACTGCACGTCAGCACGCATCAATTCAGGTCGAGTCACGTAAGGGCTGGTGGCACCAACTCGCAGTGACGTTTCGCAGTAGCGATATAAATAACATTCGTGTTTTGACTAGTTGCGAAAGGGTGGCACTGTTATTGAATCTTGTTTGGCCTCGGAGGACGCAAGTGGTCCGGGTTTCAAGGGTTTCAAAGGGGTTTATACAAAGGGTGATGATCATAACAGGCGCCCGCCAAGATTTACAGCTTGACATTGCTCTTGCTTACTAAAGTGGTTAAGGCTTCGCAGCCAATGCTAGCCACTGCAGCATTGCTTCGTGCGATTCACACAAACTTTTTGTTTCGCAGCGTGGCGCACATTGTTGGGCGCGCGTTAGATCACATATAAAATTTCTAACTGGACGACGCAACCCAAATCCAGGACATATAGCTGTTTCGACAGGTACGATGCGGGATTCGGGACGCTTTATGGAAAGTCGAGATAGTTTTGCAAAATCCAGGACGGTTGGTAATGGAGGATCTGGCTGAACCATAGTTGAACAGCTTGAACGACCACCAGCCACGGCGCGCTCACAAAACCACCAAACTATTCGCCTCGAGACAGAACCATGTTGCCCCCATTTTGGCCGCATGGTGGACGACGCACAGCGGGGATACCGCTGTGCATCGTCTGCCGAGTCTGCGCACGTTCAGAAGCATGGATCTCGACGATGCAAGTTTGTTTCCGGCTGAGCTGAGCCCTCCTCATTAAACGCTCGTTGTTTTTTATGTTTCTTCCTACTAAAGGTTGTATTGTATCGTTTCAGATGCGTGGAAATTCAGCAAAGGGATTGTGCAAAAGTCAGATGCTTCCAGAATCTTAGTGTTGTAGTTTGAATGCAACCACTGGTCCCACATATTTTTGTCATCTTGCACAAACCATACCTTTCGTAAAACATTGAATGTTGATCAGAGCTGTGGTTTGATTCAAAAATTAATCCAACTGATCAAATCAATTGATAAATCCGTTAAGTTGATTTTTCCCATTTTAAACTTCACATTGCGAGACCTACAGAAATATGAACACGGGAAGCCTTTTAAAGTGAAGTAATTTTTAAGTTATTTAAACAGTATAATTCGTATAATTACCCTCGATGACAATCGCAGGCATGCTAAAGTGGTTTACCGTGCAAGCCTGTGTCCTAAAGCGGGCATCATTTTTTACTTTTTCTGACTTTCTCCAGCACAAGTATCCGATTGAACGCCGAAAAGAAAAATCGAAAATAAAGCATTTGCTTGAATAATCTGAAGGTTAATCAATGAACTGCCCAGTTATGATATGCATTAGGTGAAGGCGGAGAGTGATCGGAAAGTACTGTGGGAGTCACTAGCCCTCATCAGTACAAGTGTCGCTGTGGCCGATGCTGTCTGTGTCGTGGTGCGAGTCGTTTGTTGGAGTTGAAGAGTCTACTATGTTTCAATAGAGGTTATTTAGCCACAAATTTATAATATTAGCCTTTTAACATCCGCAGCCCTCACCGAAAGAAATGAAGCAGGTGAAACCACTACCGAGAAAAGTATCTAGTAACACGCACGCTACTGCATTGCTCGCTTACACCCGCTTGTTCTAATCGCGGCAGATTAATTAGAGCATTTTGTTTCACTTGTCCTGTCAAAGAACAGTTTCCGGATCGTAAAGCGAAGCAGGCACTCTCTCCTTATCGCAACGTAGTAGAATTGTTCAGACTCCGAAAAACCTACCGACACCACGGCACAGTAAAGGGAAACATTGGCTGCAGCGGAACTCAATTCACCGCATTCGGTGGGAGTTGGCACGACGAGGGCGCCACAGTATTTGGTGTCCCAGTAGACTTCCGGTAGTGTATTTATTTCTTCTTCAGTAACACACAGCGATCGGAAAATAAGATTTTCCTTTGGAGAGGTATCTGTAATAGGTTTGTAAGAACCTACGCGCTTCGTGGAACGTAGTACAAATAACAAAAGGATGTGTGACAAGAGGAAAAGAAGAGGAAACCGGAAGCGCGCAGGGGTCCGCCGATAGTGGGTGGCAGTGAGCTTGTTTGCAAACAAACATTGGTGAATAGCAAAGTGATTTCCGATACAGCACTTACTTTTGATAATGCTAAATATTTATATTACTCTACTGCAAAAGCTAAAAGTTGCAAAACGAAAATTCATTGAACCTGCGATTTCACAGCCCACAGTGCCCGCATTATGCTATCCGGGTCGGAATTCATTGTTTTCCTTAATTCCTACGTTGGTGAACCGATATATCTATTTTAAAAGAAACAAATATTTAACATCAATAATGCAGTGCACCCGGCGACGCTTCCGTCGTGGTGACCCATCCTTCTCAACGTCTGCCTAGAGCAGGCGAAGCATCCACACAAGCGATTATTGAAATTTAAGCCGCACGCTGGTAAGACAATTCGATCTTCACTGAAGCACCGAACGGTACCGTACCATTTTCGGCTAAAACTGTTTTCCCACCGATACAGTGTGACAAAATAAACGCAAGAACCTACACTATGGTGCCTGGAGCGCGTCTTGGACTGGTGTGTTTAGCATAGAGATCATATACTAAATCTAGAGGAAAAGGTCCGCCATTTTCCCATACATTCTGGCTGCCGCAAGCGGCGGACCATGCAGGCAGACCCTCTGGGTCCCAAACACGGTTACATCATCAGAGCAGTTTCGTGAACTTCAACAATCCACGAACTTACCGGTGGAAAAATACTCGCGTTCCTTTCGAAGGTTTCTTTTTGCATAGCGCGCAGATGTACGGCCTCGCGTTAACGCTAAACTAAACCATATACCCGGCTTCGCTGGTGGGGCGCGGCTGGGCGCGGTTGAGGAATACGAAACTGCGCAACCACCAGATTTCCGAGATTTCGACAGAAGGGAAGTTAATGCAGCGTAATGACTTTATTGCTTTTTATAAGCGTTAGAATAGCTCAGAATTTAGTTTACAACGTTAAATTATCACTGTTTATATTGCTGAGAGTTTACACTCTTCGCGTTTACCGCGTTTACCATGGCAACGTTGCTTTCTTTCTCTCGTGTTCTGTCGCTCTCTTTCGCGATCGTCCACTCGGGACCCAGGATGTCGGCGCACGGGATTTGCCACTCCTCCTCACCCACCTTTACCCCCCTGGTGTTTAGCGTCCTATCCCGCCCATACATCAAAAGTGGTCCCGATGTGGCAACAAATGACGCGAGTGTCATGCTGTTGCCTGTCGCGATCCTGGCGGTTGGCCGTAGAAATGCTGACAAAAAGCACGAGCGAAGGCGAGTGTCGCTGTCGTCACGGCGTCCCTTTACGTCCCTTTAGGCGTCCCAACTTCCGGCTGCACTAGATTCCGTGAACTGTCACAGTGGAAAGCGACCTGCAGCAGAACAGGCATCTGCTACATACACCATAACTGTTGAGACGCCACCAGGGTCGCGACCAGCGACAGCATGACACTTCTATGACGTCATCAGGCGGAAATCGAGGGACCACTTTTTTGGCCGCGGTAAACACACCAGTCAAAGACGCGATCCAGGCACCATACCTACACTAGAGTATTCCAGGGACTCTACCTACACCATCTCGCGCACAAACGCGGAAAGCTTATGAGGCGGCCATGTTCTTTTTTTTGCTTTGATGATGATGATGATGTTTGCGCGATAGTAGCGCCACTTGTGTCGATCATGGGACCAATAGTCAACCTGCGCGAACCGCCTAATTTCAGTTTAATCATTTTTTTACCTTCCCAAGTAGCTTTACATGTTTTATATTATAATTTTAAATGCGGTATGTATCAGTTTATATTCAACAAGCGTTTGAACGTTTGGCGAAGTGTTGAGCGAGAATGCATACGCAGCAAGGCAACAATGCAACGGCTCTTTTCGAAATTCACGGGCTGATCCATATCCAAAACATTTGCAAGATTCGTGTGATAAAAGAAGTGTAGTCGCGCAGTCTTCGAGCTTGTTCTTCCGGTGTTTCGGAGTTTATTCTGTTTATGACATAAAATTAGTGTACCCGCTTTTCGTATGTGAAGTCTATATACAGTTTTTTTTACTGCTGCAGCTGTTCAGAGAAGTCTGGAAGCTTTTGCGCGCTCATTTGGACGGTGAAAGGTGAGCTTGGCTGGAGAGGTTTTTTTCACCTCAACAGTCTGAGGGGTTTCGAGTCAAGCGATGATCATTTGGGGGCAGTTCTTCGATGCCTATCGCACAAAAGTTTGTCCTACCACTGTAAAGCCTCCGTTTTACTGCGATCACGCTCTTCAGCTACCGCTGTGCACTGGACGCCAGCAAGACCTGCGACAGACAATTTGTGTCACTACGCAATTGCATAGCCGTCACAGAAGTATGTTTATTTAAAATCTTGATATTTATGGGCTTAAAATGAAAACATATAGCTAGATATCAGAGTGCAGCACTCTACAATGTGAACATTACATACAGCATACCGGAATGACTACAGTGCATAATTGTAGAACCTGCACCATGAATTCAAACAGTACAGAGGCATTTGTTCTATGTGTGTGTGTGTGTGTGGGGGGGGGGGGTTTCGGGGCTGGGCTGGGGCTGGGGCTGGGGCTCAAGTGAAGGTGGGTGCAACTGCTAGATCGGGAATCACGGGGTATAAGCGCCATTTAATTGCTAAATTTTGCTGGGAGTCTATGGGGCAGAGGGTAGTTTCATTTCCTAACTCAGGTCATAACAGCCCACTAATGTGCTTGAATAATTTCCTTAAGGTATAAATGATTATTTTTCCACCGCCACCAGTTTTGTTGCGATAGGTAACACGAAAAATGATAAATTCTGTTATCTTGGACGTTGCTGCTTGTCTGGCAACCCTGCTTTCTCCTCGACGTTTGCAATTCCCAGAGTGAGAAGGAAGCGAGAAAGGCTGCGCCAAGGCCTTCGTTGCTTGCAATGGGAGGCGAGAGGAGGAAAGGCGCATAGAGCAACAGAGTTGCAACAGAGCGGGCGTCTGCTCTCGTGCAGGCAACATTGGCGCATATCCTTTCCCAATCCTCTCCCTCGGGTGCCGCGATTAAATTGCAAACACTCTCCAGGTTTCGAGTTGCACCCACCCTCACTTGAGCCTCCCTAGTTCTACGCTGTGTCTAGAGTGCCGTCCGACGGCACTCTTGCGGAGCGTTTAAGTTAGAGGTCTAAACGGGCCGATATCTAGAAGCCCGGCCCATTGTCTCTTATGCCCGTGACCCGCTATCTATTTCCGACAGCCGGCCCGGTCCGGCACAATGCTAATTTTCGCGGGCCCACAGAGACCGCCCTATTAGCTCAGTATGAATAGCTTACAAATTGCGTGGCATGACAGCTCCCTTGTCACTGCTACACATATGTTGATTACGGTAACCGATAGTCAATGCTGTAAGCATCTTGTTTTTCTTTTTTTTCTGCTATTATTAGTCTGACAAATCTGCGGGAAAGGACGGAAAAACAAAAATGACAAGCAGCAGTAAACAAAACCATCTGTCAAAGTTAAGAAATAATGGAAACTTTACGACAGGTTTGGACAAAAGGCAAAGTTCTGAATTGACCACTCCCGGTGCATACTAACCCCCCAAAAAGATTATAGAAAAAAAAATTATTGCTGTTTCTTGGGGTGGTCTGCGAGAAATTGTTTAGGAGAAGCACTCCTCGGGAGAACTCTGCACCCATATTCTGGACACACACATTTGTACATACAGATGGTATCGCCAGTGAGGGTGTGCATTATGTAGGCACGTATGTGTGCATGTGGATGGGGAGAAGCGATAGTACAAGGGCGGTGCCGCGAGTGCTTTGGAAGAGCATTCGCTCCACACACCGAACGTACAAAAACATAAACACACACACACACATGCTTTCAGCATTTGGGTCTCCCCAGCTGTGGTCCCTCCCCCAACCCCCTGAGCAAACTTCCAAAAAAACATAGCTGTTATAAAAAGAAAGTAATGACTGGCTTGGTTTGTTTCAGCCCCCCTTGTAAATTTAAACGCAAGGCCCGTACCCGGCCCAGGCCCTTCATAAATGTAGCCGAGAAGCCCGGCCCACGGGGCCGGGCCAGCACGTGGCCTGCGGGCTGGATCATACCCGTGCAGATATCTAGTTCAAGTACCGTCCGAAAGTGCTAAGCCCAAGTCACGCTTTTCTGACATGTTTTTTCAGCCGTTCGCCGACAATTTGTTTTAACATAAAGCGCGAGCAAGACAAACGCTACAGAAGTGAGCAGCATGCTTTCATATGTATGTTTATGCCTGCACGTTGCAGGTGCGTGATCTTTTAAAGTTTGCCGAAGTGGCACTCTCTCGAATGTTGTGATTGTGATTTAAAATTAATTTTTGTTTAAATATCATTACGCTATTGAAACAAGTCAGGGATGTCATTTTTTGGTTTTCGGATATCAGTTGTTATAAAGAAAGCTTTATGAAATCTGAGTATACATATATCTAGCAAGTTTAACACTAAAAAGGTACAGCAAAAGTAGGCATACTAATTTGGCCACAAAGGGCCAAAAGCAAGACATTCTTCACTAAAGACGGCATTTGCTCAGTAGGACGCCACTCGAATGCGGGCGTAAAGTGCCGTCGGACGGCACTTGAACGCTCCACATGAGTGCCATCGAATGGCACTCCAGACACTGTGTTGATTCAATGGAACTGCCCTCCCCCCTTGCAAAGGCCATCACAAGTATAAACAGAAAAATATTGGTTGTATTCCCGAGTTCGGCCTATAAAATGGAAAACGGTGTTTGTCACTCGGTGCTCACTGACAATGTGCATTATCAATGTCTTCGTTTGTATGTTCACTCTTACTGTATGTCTCCTTTCAACACCTACCTTGCCTGCACTGGATGGCTAAATGGGATGGAGAGCAAAACTTTCTGCTCCAGCTTAGTAGTCTCGGCTTGGTGTGGAACCCATGTTGTGAAAAAGACAACACTGCCCAGAGACAGCAGACAGCCAGAAGTAACAGATGGACCAAGCGCTGACCTTATTGAATAGAGGAGAAAGTGTTCTTTCTATGTGTCCCTTGGCACTGTTATCCTTTCCAGTTATTCCATCCCAGATAGCTCATGTGCATACCCTTCTACAGGTTGATTATACACATGTAAAGGTGCTCACAACACTAGGCAACAATGTTAGAAACTTCAAAGTTCCTGCACTCAATGAATGTCCAGCGAATCTCTTGTGTCGAATTCCAGGGTTTTCCGGTGTTCGGAGCAGCCCCGAGAAAGCGACCCGGGATGGCGGCCAGCCGAGAAAGGCGGGCCATGGCCGGCAGCCGCATGGCCCAGTTGCTGAACGCCGAGGAAGACCAGGACGACTTCTACAAGACGACGTACGGCGGCTTCCAGGACGATGAGGACGACGTCGAGTACGAGACCGAGAATGACGAGAGCGACGTGGTCGACTCGGACTTTGACATCGACGAGCAGGACGAACCGGTCTCAGATCAGGAGGGGGACGAGGCCTCGGGAACGCGCAAGCGGCGCGTGGTTACCAAGGCTTACGTGGAACCCCTGAAAGAGAAAAAGAAAAAAAAGGCAGAAAAAACGGTACTTTGATTTTGTTCTCGTTTCTAGTGCCGACTTCTACATTCTTTAGAAGACTTTGCATTCACGTCCTGGCTAACTATATATTTTTATAACTTTTGTGGGCTGCACTTTGAAAGTTGGCGGGCCACCCCTTGTTTTCACCCAATTTGCTTTCCATTTTAAGTAGGCTATCTCTCGAGATATTGCAGCACGCCGTTTCTGAATTCTTGCCATAAGCCTCGGAACCTTGCAGTACCTTTCTCTGTGGAAGCCTCCTGGTTTTGTGACAGTAATTTGCTTTACCACACTTGGCTGTCTTTTTGCCTGCAAGCAACCAGAGGATGAAATTTGGACTCTGTTCCAATAAATGTGCAAAGTATCTTATATGCACAGCCCTGTTTGTCTCTTTATGCGTGAAGAGGCATAAGTGAGCAGTAAAAATAAATATCTCATTAGTTTTGAACTAAGCTCTTGTCACGTATGGATGCAAGCCACACATATTGGCCTTAGTTTATGGCCTCATGGTTGTGGCTTCGATATAAAAGGAACCGTACATTCCCAGCAAAAAATAATGAGTACATTAATGTAATTACAGTGCAGGAAAAATATCCTTTCATGAGATGGGGTTCAGCAACACCTATTTGTAGTTGCCTATACTGTTCTTGGAGGTTCCCAGGATTGCAGCTAGTTATACTAGATTTGCAGATTTATTTGATAGTGTTTCTCTTATGTCAGTTGAAATACACTGCAGTGGTTTTTTCCCACAGTTTGTGAAAGTCAACCCATTTCTGTCTTTACAGAAAGCAGAAAAGCCTCCCAAGAAGCCCAAACGCGCTTCAGAGGAGCATCTGGAATCATCAGCTGACGGAACGTCATCCACCCCATCGGTAGAGCGCAAATCCGTGCGCCGTTCAACACAAGCCAAGAGTCGCGAGGCCGAACTCCGCCGCCAAGAACAAGAGGAGCAGCGGCGGCAGCGTTACACACGCAAGCCGGACAGCGAACCCTACTATCACCCGACCCAGGAACAACTCCTCGAGGAGGCCAAGATCACAGAGCAGGAGAACTTGCGCTCCCTCGAGTCTTACCAGCGCCTAGAGCTTGAGAAGAAGAAAGCCAAGATTGTGAAGAACGCCCACCGAGGCCCCACGATTCGCTACCACTCCATCTCCATGCCCCTCATTGAAGAAGTGGAAACGCAGTCGGGGGGTCCCTCGCCACGGTGCTCGCGCAACTTCATCACATTTCCAGATGACGCCACTCTTCGGGAGAACTTTCCGAATGCGAAGCCCAAGGCTGCGAGTCGCAGCGTGTGCCCAATCACGCGGCTGCCTGCCCGCTACTTTGATCCCGTGACACTGATTCCTTACGCCAACCTGCAGGCTTTCAGGGTACTGAGGGAGGCATACTATGCTCAGCTGGAGCAGAAGGGAGACACCAGGCAGCCGGAAGTGGCCGCCTGGGTGGAATGGAGAAGGCGTAGCAGGGCGCAGAGGGCAGCACTCGCCAACAAGGCTTCTTGAAAGCATGGTCGCCGCAAGATAAGCTATCTGGTGGGGCTGCTGTTCGAAGCTCGCAGCCAGAATGGTGACGAAGACTCGGGGTGACTTCGCTCTTAGGTTTTTTAGGCTGTTCATACACTAATCAGAAACTTGAAGAAAAGTTTCATCTCGGTAAGATGGCAGTTTCGGATGACCATCTTCTCCTTCTCAGCAGTGAAATGCTGCCCATAGTTGAAGTGCAAAGGCAAGGTAGGTACAACTTGGAACCAACTGTGTGCATCATCTGTGCACTTTACTTCAAGTTCTGGATGTCACCACATACAATGTGCATACTCTCTAAACAGCTGTAAATCATTTCGTTTTCTTTCTCTTTTGTACAAAAAAAAAAAAAAATTGGAACAAAACATTATTTTGTTTTTTTTCTCAGACCTGGGGGCGTATCTTGTGTGAACAATATTTTATCATACCAAAATAATCTTTTAAACTGTTCTGGACATAAGTGCCCGGTAGCAGTACTTAGCAGTTGGCACTATCCTCGAAATTTTTGCGAGATTTCCCATTGTGATCTGTTCAGGCGTGGTTGGACAGATCACGACGGTAAGAAGCTTCCCCACTGGCTACGCCCCTGCTTCTTATTGTGCACTGGTGCCCTTCAGAGAAGCTGCGCCTGCTAAGTTGACGTCCAAGTTCTGCGTACGTCACTTCGCCGTAGCGCAGTCTCGTGTGAAGTGGTAAACCAATCCTCCGAGGCGGAATAGTGGACTACCCCGGGATGTTCACCGTAAACAACTTTATTTTCGTGGGCTCAATATTTTGCGAAGTGTGTGTTTTTCCCCCCTCTTTCGTGACATCAATGTGGGAAATGTCCCATAATGCAAGGCGCGGTTACGCCGACGGCAACGCCGCTCAAGCCGGAAAGGGTGCCTAAGAGCTGCGCTCTAAAAGTGCATAGGGTTTATTCAAGCTGTAATAGCATTCAGATGACAGAAATGCAGTTTGTTTCTAATGCACACTTTGTTACTAATCCAGTATGTGTTCTTTGTTCGATAACTCCATGCTTCATTCTTGTCTGTTTTGATTGTTTGATTTGGCATGTATTAGCATCCTTTTGGTGCTTTGTCAAGCTGATTCACTCTGTGTGCTTCATAGCATTGACTATACCCGTAAATATGTGCCCTATGAAAGCAGTCTGCAACGTCAACACATATTATACATGTGCATTGGGCTATTTTAGCGCAGTGTTCGCTCTGACATATTTTTGTACATCCGGTTGAAAAACGTTCCATACTTTTTATTATGTCGCAAGACTAAGCAAAATTTGCTCTTATAATCGAGCGCGAAGAGGAAACGCATTTGTGTTTTCTCATAGGAATGCATTACCGGGTCAAATTTAAACTGTTTGCTTTCTGCTTCAAAATGCAACAGCACACTAGCGCCACCTGGACCTCTAGCGTTTACTGTAATAACTCTACGATTCGAACCACGCTACACATGTTTCGTGTGTTCCGCAATTATATCAGTCGTTTTTTAATGTTTTCCGCGTCTATTGGCTTCTTAAAGTTCTGTTATGCTTTGCAATTGACTGGGCAACTTTGCTGTGGCAGATCTCTGCGAAATAAAAGCTGCCGCAGCCGTCAAGTGCGAGCAGTATCACCAGCTTGTCGATTGAAAGATGCACACATCCGACCCCTCCGGACAGCGAAGATACTTGATCGAAGGAATCAAACTTGAGTTCTTATGCAAATAAAAATTGATAGAAAGATTAATTAATATTCGCCTTAATATAACTTCTTATTTCAGCCTGAGCGGAAGTTTTCATAACACGACCAACTTGTACTGCATAAAATGCGTATTACATTAAATAGTAGTTATTGTCGTTATTTTTTTAATCTTTGAGGAGAATGAATTGCTGACGTCAATTTTTGTGTGCATGCGAACTTGTGAAAAGACGCTCGTTTATGTGAAAATTCCTGAACAAACTCCAACAAAAAAACTAAAAATTATATATGAAGGACGGTTTATGTCAGCTGCTAAAACGAATGGGAATGAAATACGCTAATGTATACGACCCACCCGCATGCCCTACCTCGCATATTATCGAGCCGTTCGTCACCTTCCAGCGGTCGCGTTTCATTTGCGTTTCCCACATCTTTCTCAGCACCTTGTCACTGGGAAAAGGGACAAGCCGATTTCATTTCTTGGATGATCCCTTGCACAGTTGAACACAGCACCACGGCATGTCTTGCTGAACAGAGCTCTCGGTCTTTTACTCCGAGTGCATCACACACGGCTGCTGTTGCTGCCGCCGATACGGAGAATAGCCACAATATGGCGGCGCCGTGGCGCGAGCCTGGTCAAAGCAGGGGGGTAAAGGTGGGTGAGGAGGAGTGGCAAATCCCGTGCGCCGACACCCGGGGTCCCGAGTGAAAGATCGCGAAAGACAGCGACAGAACACGAGAGAAAGAAAGCAAAGTTGCCAGCTGAAGGACGACAGTCGCAATGGTAAACGCGAAGACTGAAAACTCTCAGCAATATCAACAGTGATTCTAACGCTTATAAAAAGCATTATAGGCTCCTTGCACATGACGTCATTTCCGATGCCCTCCAGAGAAAAGGGGAAGAAGGAGCTCCCCTCTTATCAGGATCCTCCTTTCTGCCTCCCGGATTTGTACAGGCGTCGCTATTCTCCCCCCAGAAGATTAGAGAAGATTAACCTGTCACTCAAAATTCTTACAAAAGCAGTTTCCCTCTCCTCCTTTTCCTTGGTGTTCAAAAGTATGCGATGTGACGTCAGTGCAAGGAGCCTATAGTCTTTACGCTGCATTAACTTCCCTTCTGTCCAAATCTCGGAAATCTGGCAGTTGCGCGGTTTCGTATTCCTCAACCGCGCCCACCGGCGAAGCCGGGTATTTGGTTTAGTTTAGCGTTGACGCGAGGCCGTACGTCTGCGCGCTATTCAAAAGAAAGCTTCGAAAGGAACGCGAATATCTTTCCACCGGTAAGTTCGTGGATTGTTGAAGTTCATGACACTGCTCTGTGATATATTTGTTAAATCGAAGGCAGTTGGTAGCCATGTGGGACCCCGAGGGTCTGCCTGCATGCTCCGCCGCTTGCGGCAGCCAGAATGCTTGGGAAAATGGCGGACCTTTTCCTCTAGAGTTAGTATGTACGATCTCTATGGTTCAAAGGTGTCTCCATCCTGTTATGGTGTACTAGAACTGGGCAGTGTGTCGTCCGCGCCGAGAAGCAACGGAGGGAGGAGGTCGGCGCAGCGATGACGGCGCGCAAGAACGCCAGGGGGCGCTGCGGGTAACAGGCGTGCTCCTTCCCGCTCGGATTGCCGTGTGGTCAGGGGTGGGCAAGATACTTCGAAATTGTATCTTCGATACCGATACTCGATACCCTCGAAAATTGTATTTGAGATACCGATACAAGATACAGATGTAAAACTAATCTTCGATACAGATACTGAATACTGTATTTTAGATACCTCGATACATCGCTAAAACCTCATCCGAAGTACTTTAAAATGAGTGTATCTTATTGCTTTAGATTAATTAACAAAGTTATTAGTTGAATTCTTGTGTTTGTTATATTGCGTCTTTTTTTCAAACGTTTACACAAACGTACAAACCTCCGTAAAAGTATTGCAGCCAAGAGAGCAGCGAGGTATAAAGATACACGCTATTTCAAATCCACAGAATCTACCAAACCAAAACGTTCTATCAATAATTGAGTTTTAGTCTCCGCAAGGTTTTTTCAGAAACACGGACTATGTGGAGTTAACGAGTTATAGTAGATCGTGTTTTCAGGGAAAGATATTTGTATTGGGAGCTCGCGCTGCCACATCGAAGCATGCTCTGAAGCGCGCGCATGGAGTGGTATCGATCCAATGAAAACGATATACTGAAACTCCCTACTGTCGCTGTCGGGGGCTGAAGCTCGAAAAACAAATACAGGCGTTGAAAGAATCAGGAGAGCGTGTTGGTTAAACATTCATGAGGAGGATTTAGAACGCAAGTAAGAAGAAGGGACACACAGTAATATGAGACAGACATGGCAGTCGGTGTCTGTCTCGTTTTCATATTAGTCCCTTGAGTTTACTTGCGTTCTGAATCCTCAAGAAATGACAGACACTTTTAGATAGACGTACAAGTAGGCAGCAATTTAGCACCATGTTTTGCGTCTTTTCGTTCTGGTCGCTTTATTGTAATATTGTCGCGCAAGAGCTTGCTGCCGTTTTTGCCGCCCTGGCGGTTGAAAAACCCTTCGGTCACGATGGCACCCGTGGGACCGCAGCCTTAAGCAGAAGCATTAGCTCAAAACGCCGGTCTGAAAGTCCGCCACGATGCGGGCGTAAGATTAGCGACGCGAAGGAGAACAGCCGTTCTACAGGAGCCGAGGAGCACGTTGGGGTGTTGTATCTAATGAAGGCGCTTCTCAGAGAAGGGTATGAGCGGAGCATATCGAATTCAACTCGAGGATCTTGCAGGTAGCTCAGGAACTCAAGTTTGACTTGATCTTCCTGACAACTGGGGCTCGTGCCGCAGTGGGCTTCAAAAGAAAAGAATGCATCAGCCGATACGTCAGAGGCTGCAGAGGTTGATGGCGCGCACGCCAAAGGACGCGTGGTGTGCTTGGTTGCATTTACAAAGTCAATTACAGCTTTTTCTGTGAGTTGCTGGCCATGCTCGCGGACATCTTGAGGTTCTCGTGACAACCACCGCAACTTAAAGTAAGGGTGAAGAACAGCAGCAACAGTCGCTTCATTTGCACTTGGTTTCATTCGCAGAAGCTCGTCAAATCTGCGAATGAACACAGATGTAACCGCATCCAAAAGTGGTCTGCAGTAGACGAAGTCCATACCAGCCTTCTCCTGAAGCTTTGATTTTACGGTAAAAAGCGTTGGTAGCAGCTCCCCGAAGAAGCAATCGGACTGCGCTTGGAGTCGCGTCAGAGCGGAGGGGATGGGCTGCAGGATCTCACAGTACTCGGCAATAAATGCTAAGTCTCTTTCTTGGAATGTCTGCAGATTTAGTCCATCGCAGACATCTCGCAGTTTATCCTTCGAGCGAAGGAGGTCTTTCATGCTGTCATACAATGAATTCCAGCGTGTTAAACATGGCGTCTTCAGAGTATGCCCTAGGATGTCCACAATAACTTCAGACGACTTGGGTCCTCGAACGCAGTTCCATAGAGCCGAACACTTTGACATGACCGATGTGTTAGCACGTTCAAAGGACGGTGTCGACAAGGCTGCCTTCGTATCTGAAGTTGCCACAAGACTCAGCGTGTGACATGCGCATCGAAGATGACGAGGCAAGTTGATTTCAGCATCGTCCAGGTT